ATTCGTTATGGACACAAAAATCCTCAACAAACTGAATCCATCAACAGCATGTAAAGATGATACACACTACTATCAAGTGAGATTTATACCAGGAATGCAAGGTTGATTCAACATATTTTTAAAGATCAAGGGTAATAGAACAAAGGGAAAAAACACAGCATGTGGTTTAATAAGATCTTTCTTTTCTTTTTTTTTTTTTTTTTTTAAGATTTTATTTATTTATGACAGACAGAGGCAGAGAGAAGCAGGCTCCATGCAGGGAGCCCGATGTGGGACTCGATCCCGGGTCTCCAGGATCAGGCCCTGGGCTGATGGCGGCGCTAAACTGCTGAGCTACGTGGGCTGCCCACATAATAAGATCTTACAGAGAGAGAATACTAGGGAATCTATACATATACACAAAAAAAGCTATTACAGCTGATAAATGAACTCAGCAAAGTTATAGGATACAAGATCAGATGCAAAAACAAATTGTATTTACATACTATCAATGAACAATCTGAAAATTAAGATAGCATTTCCAGGGGCACCTGGCTGGCTCAGTCAAGAATGTATGACTCTTGATCCCAAGGTTATGAGTTCAAGACTCAGGTTGGGGGGAGTTTACTTTATAAAAAAAGAAAAGCATTTCCATTTTACTAAGTATCAAAAAGAATAACCTACCTAGCAATAAGTTTAACAAGAGAAATATAAGATTTGTACACTGAAAACTATAATATACCTTTGAAAGAAATTAGAGCAGACCTAAATATAAGTGAAAATGACTGCCTTCATTTGTGGATTAAAAGATTTAATGTTAAGATTGCAGTACTTCCCAAATTGATCTCCAAACTCAGCACATTCCTATTAAAGACCTATCGGTGTTTATGCAGAAATTGACAAGTTGATCCTAAAATCCTTGTGGAAATTCAAGGAACCCAGAACAGCCAAAACAATCTTGAAAAAGAACAAAGACTGAAGACTTAGACTTTCCAATTTTATAACTTACTACAAAGCAAGATGAATAGAATAGAATTTAGTGTCCAATTGATTTTTCAACGGAAGTGCTGAAATAATTCATTAAGGAAATAATAATAATAACCTTTTTTTAAAAAGTAGACTCCAGGGCAGCCTGGGTGCTCAGTGGTTTAGCGCCGCCTTCAGCCCATGGTGTTATCCTGGAGACCCAGGATCAAGTCCCTCGTCAGGCTCACTACTTTGGGCCTACTTCTCCCTCTGCCTGTGTCTGTGCGTGCCTCTCTCTCTCTCTCTCTCTCTCTCTCTCTCTCTCTCTCTTTTGAATAAATGAATAAAATCTTTAAAAAAAAAAAAAGTAGACTCCATACTGGCCATGGAGCCCAATGCAGGGCTTGAACTCACATCACCAAGATCTAGAGTTGGACATCTACCTGACTCAGCCGCCCGGGTGTCCCAAGAATAGCCTTTTAACAAATGGTGCTGGGACACCTGGATATCTGCAAAAGAATGAAATCAAACCTCTACCTCACACATATACAAAAATTAATTCAAAATCAGAGGCTAAAATATAAGAGCCAAAACTATAAACTCTTAAAACATAGGAGTATATCTTTGTGACCTTGGATTAGGCAACGGTTTCTAAGATCCAACATCAAAAATAGAAGCCACAGAGGAAAAAAGAGATAAATTGAACTTTAGCAAAAGTTAAAACTTTTGTTCTTCAAAGGACATTATCAGGAAGGTGAAGACAACCCACAGAATGGGGGGAATTACAAATTGTAATTTGAGGGCAGCCCAGGTGGCCTAGTGGTTTAGCGCTGCCTTCTCCCCAGGGCCTGATCCTGGAGACCTGGGATGGAGCCTGCTTCTCCCTCTGCCTGTGTCTCTGCCTCTCTCTCTCTCTCTGTGATTATCATAAATTTAAAAAATAAAATAAAATCCAGACTTTTTTTAAAAAAAATAAAAATTAAAAGTTCAATTTTTTAAAATAGGAAAAGGATTTGAACAAACATTTGTCCAGATAAAATATACAATGGCACATAAACACTGAAAAAGATGTTCAGTATCATTAGAGGTTAGGAAGATGCAATTTGTAACCACGATGAGATGCCACTCTACACCTGCTAGGTTGACTCTTACAAAAAAGATGGAAAATAATAAATGTTAATGAGGATGTGGAAAAATTAGAACCCTCATGTTGCTGGTGGGATTGTAAAGTAGTACAACTGCTTTGGAAAATAGTTTAGTACTTTTTCAAAAAATTATGTAGAGTTAGCATACAAGCCAGTTATAATTCCACTCCTAGGTATATACCCAGGAGAATTGAAAACATATCTACACAAAAACCTGTTAAAGAATATTCAGAGCAACATTATACATCATTGCCCCAAAAATAGAATATTCAGTAGCTGATGGATGGATAAGTAAAAGTATATTCATACAGTGGAATATTCAGCTATAAAAAGCAGTGAAGTACTGATTCATGATACCACATGGATGAACCTTGAAACACACTAAGTGAAAGAAGCCAGACACATATTTATATGAAATATCCAGAATAGGCAGATCCATAGAGTCAGAAAGTAGATTCATGATCACCAGGGCTTAGGGAGAGGAAACATGGGGAGTGAACGTTGTGACTACATTGTTTCTTTTGGGGATATGTAAGTTCTGAAATTAGATAGTGGTGATAATTGCACAACTCTGAACAAATGAAAGAGCCACCAAACTGGGATGCCTGGGTAGCTCAGCAATGGAGCGTCTACTTTCAGAGCGTGATCCCCGCTCCAGGGATCAAGTCTCAGGCTTCCTGCAAGGAGCCTACTTGTGCCTCTGCCCATGTTTCTGCCTTTCTCTGTGTGTGTCTCATGAATAAATAAAATCTTTTAAAAAGTAATTAAATAAAAATAAAATATTTTTAAAAATAAAAATAAATAAAAACTCTTCAAAAGACTCAGGTTGTGTCAAAAGGAGACAGAAGCCACAACAACAACAACAAAAAAAAAAAAAAAAAAGAGAGAAGCCAACTTGAAGATATTTACTGACCAAAAAAAGGAGACAGTTGTACTACAAAACAACCAGGTATTCGATATGAGGAAATTTCTCTTTCTAGAAGTATAAGCTTTATAAACAAGGAGTGATGGAACCATAATAAATCAATCTAAGCAATGATTGTCATAACTGCTAGCATCACCAAAAAGAGACCAACACAGATATATGCACCTATGGAGTTAGTAGTCTTGCCAAAACAGTGGAACTTGAATCTGATCAAGCCCCATATCTCACTAACAAATTATGGGAAGTAGAGGACAAAGAACATGTTAAACAATACCATGGAATTGCAATCATTAAAAGTCAGACTCTGAGGAACTCTACAGGACAAAAATAAATTAGAAACCCAAAAAAGGAGAGAAAGGAACCAATAGATTAAAAGACACATGAGAGAGATATCCACCAATTACAGTGCATGGACTATACAGTAGTCCCCCATCATATCTGCAGTTTCATTCTCCATGATGTCAGTTACCTGGTGTCAACTGCATCTGGAAGCAGATGATAGTAGCCTAACACTGCCTCACAGTGCCCGTGTCATTCACCTCACTTCATCTCTCCACATAGGCATTTTATCATCTCATATGTTATCATAAGCAGAAGGATGAATACAATGCAGTAAGATTTTGAGGGAGAAACCACATATATATAACTTAATTGTTATAATTGTTCTGTTTGATTATTGTTACTAAGCTCTCACTGTACCTACTTTATAAATTAAACTATCATAGGTTTAAAAACAGAACATAAAGGGTTCAGTACTATCTGTAGTTTCACGCGTCCACTAGGAGTTTTGGAATGTATCCCACATATAAAGGGGAGACCACTGTATTTCGAGCTCAATTCAAACAAATGAAAGATATATTTTATGTTACAAAATAGCATGTCTAGTCTAACTGGGGAAATGGGACCACCGAGCCACGTATTTGCTGAAAATAAAGAATTGTTAAAAATTTTGGTATGATAATAGCTCTGAATAGGTTATGTTTTCCTTATGTTTAGAAATAGCTACTAAACAAGTTACAGATGAGATGATGTGATGTCTGGGATTTGCTTTAAAATATGGGGGAAGGGTGCTTTATAAAGGATTCTTGTGAGGGAATTTGGGGGAATAATAGAACTAGACTGTATCTTAATTGTGGTGGTACTAATCATGAATCTATGCCACTGACCCCAAAAAGGAAAAAAAAACAATTTTGCTCTATCTTAATTTTTATTTATTTTTTAAAAGATTTTATTTATTTATTCACGATAGAAAGAGAGAAAGAGAGGCAGAGACACAGGCAGAGGGAGAAGCAGGCTCCATGCAGGGAACCTAATGTGGGACTCGATCCCGGGACCCCAGGATCATGCCCTGGGCCAAAGGCAGGCGCTAAACTGCTGAGCCACCCAGGGATCCCTCTATCTTAATTTTTAAAATAAAACTTAAAAATTCATATTATGGGGAAGATGAGTGGAGGAATAGATGAAATAAGACAGGTCATGACTTGCTAATATTTGGAGCAGGATGATAGCATAGGAAGTCTTCATTGTACTGTTCTCTCTACCAAAGATTTTTATTTATTTTTTTTATTTTTTTAAAGATTTTATTTATTTATTCATGAGAGACAGAGGCAGACGGAGAAGCAGGCTCCATGCAGGGAGCCCGACGTGGGACTCGATCCCCGTCTCCAGGATCACGCCCTGGGCTGAAGGCGGCGCTAAACCACTGAGCCTCCTGGGCTGCCTTCTACCAAAGATTTTACGTATAGTTATTTAGGATATAATGTGAAACTTATAGTATTTGAAATCATAGATGAGAAGTTTAGGGAAATAGCTTTGAAATGAAGGTTTCCTACTGTTATGAACCATTGCATGGTGTAACAATAATTGAAACATAATAGGATAAAGTTAGAAGCAAGTGGAAGTGGTATGATTAAAGACATTTTATACCATATAAATAGAAGAAGTTTCTCTGATAACACGTTTTTGTTTTTATTTTCTTTTTTTAGGATGAGAGATGCTGCAAGAAAAATCGAAGAAAGGCATTTTTCCAACCACGCAACACATGTTGAATTTCTGCCTGTTGAGTGGCGATCAAAACTTACTCTTGATGGAGGTAAGGTTTGTTTAGAACTTAAATGATTTAGCCACTAGCAACGAAGTGTTGGTTATTGGGAACAAAGTGTCTTTCATTTAGTTGTCTTGAGGTATACTCAGTCTTTGTTCTAGATTATTTAAGAAAATCTGTTGATTTTTAAAATAATTATATTGTCATATGTTGATTCGGATCACCATATAGGTTTCATAGGTAGCCCAGTTTTTGTGCATGGCTTCTGTAGATTGGGGATTTGGGGGTGTGGTGGGGAGCATGTGGAGGGAACAAAATACTGTCTAAAGTTTTTGAGAGAAAGTGATTTGTTGACACTAAAAACGTTTGTTGTCCACAGTTCCATTTGAGCTTACATTTTCTTTCTAATAGTTTTCTTTTCCTATATTTGGAAGATAAAATCTCAGGTTTTTGGTTTCCTTTTAGTGGTTCCTGCATTCTCTGGGCTGGTGAATTATAATCTAGCATAGGGAAATTATACAGTATATTTGTTTAAATAAAATCATTTTTGTTTGCTTCCTTATAAAGAGGTGTTAGCTAAAATATGCACAAAGTTGTGACCTTTTAATATTTAAACCATTAGAATAGCATGTTTCAGTTGGTGATTTGCATAATCTGGAAAATGAGTGTTCTAGACACGATATCACTAGTGGAGCTTATACTCTGTGCCTGGCACTCCATAGTTCATTTTGCATGGAGTTTCTCATTTAATTTCGCATATTTTTGTGAAATATACCTACTTTGTCAGTTATAGCTTATAAATCAAAATAGTATCCAAAGTTTTAACAAGTTGAAAAAAAAATAATAGTGACCAAAGAAGACTTCTCAGCAGCAGGAGCTCATATATAAGGTTCTAGTGTAGAAATACTACCTTTTGGACTTTTCCCATTTACCCAGATAAATTTTTCAGGCTACTCAAGAATGTAGACAACATGGTTGAATTAACATTTAATAAAACTGAATCTCTAATATTCTATAAGGTTTAAACTACTGTGATAGACTATCAAAGGCATGGTAGTGAGTGAGAAAAACTAAAGTTAAAACACCACGGTTTCTATTCTCAATACTTTTTTTTTTTTTTTTTTAATTCGGAGAGAGAGAGAGGCAGAGACACAGGCAGAGAGGTAGAAGCAGGCCCATGCAGGGAGCCTGATGTGGGACTCGATCCCGGGTCTCCAGGATCACACCCCAGGCTACAGGCGGCGCTAAACCGCTGCGCCACCGGGGCTGCCCTATTCTCAATACTTCTGATACCAAAAGTATGAAGGTTTTTCCCCATACCAACCATTTCTCCATCCTGGGTGTCCTGTAATTTAACTCAGTTCTGTCACAAACTCTCCAGGAGAGTGCAGTCGGATTAAGGACTCAGTCCCCAAGACTGCCCCCCCACTTCAGATGTAGTCAGACATTCCAGATTGTCACTAGTACTTCTGATGGACTAGCTATAAATTGGGGGAAGGGGTCCCTGTGACTCCATCCTAAGATTCAATAATTTACCAGATTCACAAAATGGCTCGCAAAACTTAAGGGAGCATTTACTTACATTCACTAGTTTAAAACACATTTGCTAATTTGAAAGAGTGTTAACAAAGGCTGCAATAAAAGGCCAGGTGAAGAGCTATGTAGAGCAAGGTATGGGGAAGGGATACAGTAATTTCATATCTTGTCCAAGTGCACCTTCCTTCCAGTACTTCCATGGGTTTGCCAGTCTGGAGGCTCCTGAGGCCCTGTTGTTGTTTAGAGTTTTTATGGAGGTTCTGCTGTGTAGACATAATTGATTAAATCATTGGCAATTGACCTCAAGATCAATCTCAAGACCTTTACAGAGGTCAGGGGATGGTACAAAAAGTTCAACCCTCTAGTCACATGATTTCACATGGTTGGTTTCTCTGTGAATCAGCCCCCATCCTCCAAGAATCACCTTACTAACACAAACTCAGGTGCAGTTGAAAGAGGCTTATTATGAGTAATAAAAGATACTTCTTTCACCCCTCAGGAAATTATGAGGGTTTTAGGAACCCTGTGCCAAGAACCAGACAAAGACCAAACATGTTTCTTATTACAGTTGGTCCTTGAACAAAATGTGTGTGGCGATGAGGGCACTGACCACCCCACACACAATCAAAATTTGCGTATAACTTTTGACTTTTCAAAATCTTAGTGACTAATTGCCTACTGTTGACCAGAAGCCTTATTGATAACATAGTCAATTAACAAATGTTTTATGTTATGTGCTTATATACTGTATTCTGAGTAAAGTTAGCTAGAGAAAAGGAAGTGTTATTTAGGAAATCATAAGAGGGCAGCCTGGGTGCTCAGTGGTTTAGCACCACCTTCAGCCCAGGGTGTGATCCTGGAGACCTAGGATCAAGTCCCATGTCGGGCTCCCTGCATGGAGCCTGCTTCTCCCTTTGCCTGTGCCCCCCCCCTCTCTCTTTCTGTGTGTGTGTCTCTCATGAATAAATAAATAAAATCTTTAAAAAAAGGAAATCATAAGGAAGAGAAACTGCATTTACAGTGCTGTACTGTATTTATCAAAAAAAAAAATCCATGTATGAATGGACCTGCACAGTTTAAACCCTTGTTGTACAGGGGTCAGCTGTATATCACAGTATTACAGAAGCAAGTCTCAAAGTTTGCATAATATGTGCTTCCATTTTTTTTAAAAGATTCTATTTATTTAACAGAACATGAGCAAGAGGGAGAAGCAGGCTCCTCACTGAGCTGGGAGCCTGATGAGGGGCCCAATCCCAGGATTCTGTGATCACAGTCTGAGCTAAAGGCAGATGCTTAACCAACTGAGCAGCTCAGGCATCCTGTGTGCTTCCGTTTATGTGACATACTAAAAGAGGCAAAATTGTAGAGACAGAGAACTGATTAGTGGTTAGAGGGCTTAAGGGAGGGTTGTCTACACAGAATATACAAAAGAATCTACAGAAAAATTATTAGAATTAATAAGATTTTTTACAAGGTTGTGAAATAAAAGATCTATATGCAAAAATAAATGTATTTCTATATGCCAGCACAGACAATTCGAAGTAGCATAAATACAAGGTTCCTAGAAATCTAATAAAATATGTATATTTATATTAAAAATGAAAATAATTTAAAGGATACTAAGTACAACTTAAATATATACAAAGATCATTTTTGTAGATTGGATGGTTCAATATACTAGAGATATTATTTCTCTCAAACTGATCTATAGATTCCATGCACTTTCAATCAAAATCCCAATAGAGTTCCATAAAACTTGACAAGCTGATCCCAAAATTAATGTAGAAGATCAGAGGCCCAAAAATAGCCAAGATACAAAACAAGAGAGTGGAGAGGGTGTCATATCCTTGTAGATAACTGGACTATTTTTTAACTTTTGTATATAAGATAATTTAGATTTAGATTGACACAGGTTAGGTAAACAGATCAGTATACCAGACTGGAGACCCCTCAAATGGATCTGTGTTTAGTTTGGAAACCTGGTTTATCATAGAGCCAGCATTACAGATCACGGGTGAAAGGATGGCCTGTCCCATAAATGGTGCTTAGTAACCAGTTACCCTGTAGAGAGAAAAGTGAAAATCATTCCTACCTCACATTCCAGAAGATCAAACATATAAGCCAGGGCTTTAAAATGTATTACAAAAAAAAAAAATATGACACAAAAACACAACTATAAAGTAACATGGGTAAATTGATTAGATTGAAATTAAGAACTTCTTTTTTTGCAATAGCATAAAAAATGAAAGACAAGCCACAGGGACCCCTGGGTGGCTCAGTGGTTGAGCGGCTGCCTTTGGCTCAGGGCACGATCCTGTGGTCCTGGGATCGAGTCCCACATAGAGCTCCCCATGGGAGCCTGCTTCTCCCTCTGCCTATGTCTCTGCCTCTTCCTCTCTGTGTGTCTCATGAATAAATAAATTAAAAAAAAAAAGAAAAAGAAAAGCAGCAAATGGAAAACATGTTGCAACAGAACAACAGATATAACCACCAAAGTCTAATATCCAGAATAAAGAATAGGAAACCTAAATGGAGATAGATAGGCAGACACACATACACGTGTGTGTTATAATATATTTAATTTACAATTTCATATATAAAATGTACATCTCTCTAGTAATCAAGGAGATGCAAATTAAACCACAATGAAATACCTTTCATTCATCAGTTAGGAAAAAATTTAAGAAAGTGATGATACCAAATGTTGGTGAGGATATACAGCACTTCTGATTCTCATTGACTGTTGATGGAAATGTGAATTGGTACAATCACTTTGGAAGATGGTTTGACATATTCTTGTAACGTTGAATGTGAGTGTGCCCTGTGACACAGTAGTTTCACTCCTAGATGTATATATACTAAAGAAACTCTTACACATATGCACCAAGAGACATACAACAGTGTTCTTAGGAGCATAGTTTATATTAGCAAAAACTAAAAACAACCCAAATGTCTTTCAAAGGAAAATGAGTACATTGATAGATATATATGAAATAGTATACAGCAGTGAAAATGAGTGGGTTATAGCTATATGGCTCAACATCAATGAATCTCAGAAGCATAGTATTGGGCCATATGAGCCATGGGCAGTAACTCAATTTACATAGTATTCAGAAACAGACAAAATGAAATAAAATATTTATGCTCTGGCACATAATAAATGCTCTAGAATTGGCTAAAATTATTAATATTAATGAACATGTAAGTCTATAAAGCAAGAGTATAGCACAAACTTCTCATTGGTAGTTACTTAGGGAGAGGCATGTAATCATTTAGCGTTATGCTGTGAGTTTTAGAGATACTGTCAGTATTTTTAAGCTAGGTGACAGAAACATGTTTTCCCATATATAAATTATTCTTTCAGATGCATGTATATATTAAATATCTTCTTTGTATGTGTATTTCACAGTAAAAACTTTTTTTGGGAAATGCATTAAAATGGCATTTAAGTTCTTTGTATCAGCATGGTAGTCACGTCTATCACTTTTACAATTTAAAAATAGGCATAGGCTATAAATGTGTTGCGCTACCCACATCCTTTACATCTTTGAAAAGACTTCTAGCTTTTGCTTGAGTCATTGTCTTCCAGTCGTTACTAGATTGTATTAAAGTAGGGGATGAATAAAAACAATTCAGTGAAAAACTGGAAGATAAACTACACTATACTAAAAATATAAGCTTTGTCCTGCCCACCTTGTGCTTTTCATATTATGATATTCATCCTTATATAGGGCTTCTTTGTATTTCTGTAAGAAATTCAAAGTTTCCTGCATCTCTGATCACTTTATTAGGTGTTTCCTAGAATAAGCTTCCCAAGGTAGAATTTTCACGGGTTAGCTGTAATCCAGGAATGCTGAATTGTTTGCAGTGCAGTGTAGTGTACATGACTTTCTTTTTTCAAAAGTGAATTATACCAACTTTATCATGTTTACATATTTGTAATTTGGCAGCTCTTGCCCATAGGATCTTGGGTTCACTGAAGAGAGATATATGTAAAGTGTAGGAAGTGTAGGGAAACTTTTTAATTTGTTACTGGGGGATGCCTAGGTGGCTCAGAGGTTGAGTGTCTGCCTTTGGCCCAGGGTGTGATCCTGGAGTCCCAGGATCGAGTCCCACATCAGGCTCCCTGCATGGAGCCTGCTTCTCCCTCTGCCTGTGTCTCTGCCTCTCTCTTTCCCTGTTTCTCATGAATAAATAAATAAAATCTTTTAAAAAATAATAATAATTTGTTACTGGTTTGCCACTGGTGGCGGTGGGCATTCCATATGGGTATTGCCAGGCCCAAAGTACAGAGGCCAAGGAAGAAGAGAAAGGAAACAGAGAAACAGGTACAGGAAGAGTAAGATCGTATTCCTTAACACTTGTTCAAGAATACAGATGGAGTTTTAAAAAAAAGAATACAGATGGTCTGGTTTTGCTCTGAGTATCCCTGATTGTCATGCAAAAGCCAATATATAGGGAAAAAATGATAAATCTTTACAGATTTGATCATGGCTTTCATCCTTAATGTTCCTTTTCTTCCCATGTTCCCTTTAGTCTTTTACTGTTTGTGGGTTTGGTTTGGTTTGGGGTTTTTTTGCAACATTTTGTAAGAAGGGAAGTTTCATTAGATCCAAAGCCACTCTTGAATATGTAAATGTGAACTTAAAGACCCGTTGTTTTGGAGAATGTAATTTTTTCACAATTTATTTTTTCCCTAAAACAAAGATCTTCTATAAGTTTAATTTTTTCTTTTTTTAAATTTGTAGACACTGTTGATTCCATTACTCCAGACAAAGTACGAGGTTTAAGGGATATGCTGAACAGCAGTGCAATGGACATAATGTATTACACTAGCCCACTTTATAGAGATGAAGTAAGTATCTTGATTATCTTGTTGCTGTTGCATATTTTTTTTAGAGTGATAGCATATATCCCAAATTTTAAAATTTTATGCACTTTTTTACAAGCAAATGATAATTTATAGGAATCCATTAACCTCTAAATAGCCTGTATTTAATAGTAAATTTAATTATCTTCAAACTACACATTAATAAAATGGATAATATTGGAAGTAGGAAATTGGTTAATAAATAGCTCTTTGAAAAATACCAGTTTTCATAAATTAATAATATCTACAATTACTGTCCTCACAAAAAAGTTAGACGCTTAAGAAATTTCAAGTTTTTTGTTTGTCAAAGACTTGCTTTTATAGTGTCATTTCTATAGTGGATTCCTCTAGTTCTTAATTAATAATGTTGCTGATGCATCACAGAAATAACCCTGGGGGGTTGGGTAAGAGTAAAACTTTATTCAGGGGGATGAGAGACTCTACTGAATACATGTTGTCACTTTGTTGGTAAGAAAAAAAGAATTGTTTTATAGGAATAACCTTATTAATTACCTAATGTGTTAGCTTGTCTAAATCTCATAAAAACCGTATGAGGTAGATATAATTCGTATCCTCATTCAAAAGATGAAGAAACTGATACAAAGAGTAGTTACCAGTAGAGTTGCTCTGTGTTGTTCCAAGCCAATTCATTTCCGATCCCTTCATTAAGAACAGAATATCCCTCACTTCGCTCAGGATATCCCTTGCATATGTACAGAAGTATGTTAGGTTAATTGCCACAGAACTTCCTTCTCTTTGGGCTGCCATTCCCTCAGGATTTTTCCGCCATTCCTTTCTATATCCCCTCATTGTCATGTACCAGTATGGGGCAAAGTCTGCTTTGTTCTGACTGATAACAGTATAAGAAAGTACAATAAACAAAAACAGTAAAAACAATCTATACAGGGCTTCATTCTAGCCCAACAGGGAAGGCCTGGCTCATGAAGTAGAATACTAATAATATACATGTTCATAGTCGTTCATAGTTTATGTTGGGCATCGTTGGATATACACCCTAAAGATTAGGAAATTGAACAATAAGTATTGCAAGTGAAATCAGTAAGAGAAGGAGAAAAGGAAAGAGAATGGCTGAAAGCATGTAACACACATTCATAAACCATAAGTATACCTTATAGACACAGATATATGGTTGGTAGTATTTCTAAGAAGGTATCCTGAATGTTTAAGGGTAAAATGTACTGAGGCACATCCTCCAAACTAGTAAGAGCTTTTTTAAAAAAAGTTGTAAATTGACATTAATAACAGGAAAATCTGGAAAGAGAAAAGTAGTCAGTTTCTATTTTACTCTCATATCTCCAGAAATAGTTATCTACAGAATGAAATTGAATAAAACATATTCAGTAGAAAGAAGGAACTGATAACTAAGATAAATGAAATAGACAACACGCAGAGTGGTGGGTTTTTGTTTGTTTGTTTCTTAAGATTTTATTCACTCATTTGAGGGAGGGGGTACAGAGGGAGAAGCAGGCTCCCCAGCTTCCCACTGAGCAGGGAAATGGGGCCAATTGCAGGACTCAGATCAGGACCTAAGTGGAAGGCAGACACAGATGCTTAACCAACTAAACCACCCAAGCTCCCCAAGAACACCCAGTGTTTTAAATTAGTTTGTCTTTTAATCCATTTGAATTTTGTGGAAAAAGCACCAGAGAACTTGTGGCTGCAATTCATCATCATTCTTGAGCAGTGTTTCCCAAACATCCGTAATTAAAAGTTATTTGGGGTACTCATTGATGGCAGAGACAAAAAACAGCCTCATAGAAGTCATTGGAATTGAAGGTATTCATGTGAATTTATGATTTTGAAAATCATAAATGTGTGTATATGTAAGTATATATTTAAGTGTATATTTGTATATATACATGTATATATTTCCCACCTGTGTACATTGAAAAGGCCAAGAAGCAAAGATACTTCAGTGTGATGAGCACATCTAGCAACCAGATCTCTGTCTCTAGTCCTGTTGTTACCCTCTGAGAAGAACTAGGCTTCCATCAATTATATAAGGACAATATATAATGAGTTATAAATCACTGAAAAATTCATAATTCGTATCAATTACAAAGAAGCAAATGGAAGAGAAAGCCTCTATGCTTATAGTAAATGCCAAGGGCTTTCTGAAAACTCAAGGGAATGCCAGAGGAAAATCCTCATTTTGTAGCTATAGTAATAGGATTAGGTAAAAGAGCCTTGGGCAAGATTTGTCAGTGGGTGCTAAATTGAGGATATTATTTTGATGGGGAATAGGATATTTGCATAGTCTTAAAGTATATCCTCATAAACTGCTTATTTAAAAAAAAAATATATCAGGTATAGAGTGTAGAAATTAGGCAACACCTTTCCTGGCTGTTCCTGAGGGACACTCAGAGGACACAGCATCATTTATGCAGTGCTTCAGTCATTAGGAAACATCAAGCAAACACAGAATGAAGAAGTTCAAATAAAGTAAGAATGGGACTGTGTTCTTTTCAAATGTAAATACCGTGAAAGACAAGAATGGCTGGAGGAGGCTAAAAAAGACACCTAGCTCAATCCAACATCTGTCTCATCCTAGACCATAATCTGTACTAGATATTATTAGATCATCTGACAAGATGTGGATGGTAGTTCAAATTAGATTGAAATGTTGGGACGCCTGGGTGGCTTAGCGGTTGGGCGTCTGCCTTCCACTCAGGGCGTGATCCTGGAGTTCCGGGATCAGGATCAGGATCGAGTCCCGCATCGTGTTACTGCAGGGAGTCTGCCTGCTTCTGCCTCTGCCTCTCTGTGTGTCTCTCATGAATAAATAGATAAATCTTAAAAAAAAAAAATAGATGAAATGTTATATCAAAGTAAGTTTTTGAAGTTCATTACTACACTCTGAGTATGGAAGAGAATATCCCTAGTCTTAGGAAATATACACTGGAGTATTTAGGGGGTAAAAGACAATGACATATGTAATATATCCTCAAATGGTTCACCAAAAAATGTACATGATTGTGTGTGCTATAGAATAGAAGGAATGATAAACAGGATAAAAAGCTAACAATAGATAAACCTTTGGTAAAGGATATATGGATGATATTTGTAGTTTGGGCTTTTTTGCAACATTTTTAAACTCGAAGTTATTTCCAAGTAAAAAGTTAAAAAAAGGAAATGAGGAAATAATGGTTTCCAAGGTCTCCCCCCTGGAAATTCTGATTCAGTGGATCTGAGGTAGAGCCTGTGAATTTGTGTTTTTTAACAGTTCCGCAGGTGATACCATCAGGGAAATTTGGGAAACATTGCTTAAGGTATTGTGAAAAACAAAAGAAAACTTAGTGAGAAGCAGGCAAAAATTGTTCTTAATTTTAAAAAAGGAAAGCTGATTCTGCAAATCAAAACTCATTTAGCACAGGGTGATGTTACCCATTCTAGATTAATTATTTTTAAACAGTGTATGTTTCCTAAGGGAAGAAGTGATAAATAACAGCAATCAGGACTTCTTTAGGATTATATCGTGCCTGTTGAATGAACCTTGTTTGGTTTACTTGATAGGCATATGAAAGAGCCTTTTTATCTCTTTCACTCAGCCTTTGGAATTAAAATAGATGCCCTTCAAAACCTGCCATTTAACTAGCTGTGTGACCTTAGATGAAATTTCTCACTTTTTCAGCTTCCTCACTTATAAAATGGACACAGGGTACCTACCTGATAACGGGTGTCGTGAGGATTAAAGATGTAATGTATATATAAAGTTCCCAGTACAATTCCTCCTCTTTAGAGTCTCCAGTTGTGATTAATTATATATCTGTCTTTATGTATTTCAAGGTTTCTCATTAAAGAAAAGAAAGGAATAGACTTATTCTGTTAACTCTAGAAAGTGAATAAGGATCAGTGATAGAAAATATGGAACATGTTTGTTTACTAATGAACTTTGTAACTAAAGGTGTCTTTAAAAAAAAGAAATGTCTCAAGGGAAAAAATTGTAAATAATGTGATGGATTTTAACTAAACTTATTTATAGCGATCATTTCACAATATATACATATATCAAATTGTTATGTTGTACATATACAATGTTATATGTCAATTATATCACAATAAACTGGAAAAAAGTTTTTAAAAAACAAAAGTAAAAAAGTTTAAAAACCACTTTAGAGTAGAGATACTCACTGGGGTGGATGCTGAGTGATTTACTCAGGGATGCCACTGAAGGGACTCCTACCTTCACAGCAGTTTAAATTAGATAATCTCTTTTAATTCCCCTTTCACTGAAGATTGTGAGATACTCCTGGGAGGACCCTAATCAGTGATTGTGCCAGTAATCATTAAAAAGCCCATAGTTAAGGGAAAAGTTTTGTGTGTCAATTAATACTTTTCAGGTCTTACTTTCCAACAACCGATTAAAAAAAGGAAACTAATCCTGACTATAGAGATATCATCAGAGAGCCTTTGGCCCTTGTTTTAATTCTGAATAAAGTAACATGAAAAATCCAGAGAAAGCAATGACATCTTGGGTGCATCTGAACTCTCTTTCCAGTGATTTTTAAAACTGAAGAATTTTAAAGAGAATGGTCATGGCCATCTCTTGTCAGTGTTCCTTGAAAAATCATTCAACTGATGTATATGACTAAAACTCTCTAAATTTCTTTTTCTCATTAAAATTTCCTGAAACAGGGAGAAGGACAAAGAAGGACTAATATTTTTCAGCCATACTTTGTGTGTTTGGATTTTCTCTGGAAACTGCTGGCTTTTTTCCTTTTGGGTTGATTTTTTTTTCATAAATTTTAACTTGTAAGCAGCAGTTTTGAGAACAAAAAACTCTTAAGCTTTTGAAAAGCCATCAATTTGCCTACCACGTAAGAGATTAGCTGACTTGATTGGATAATATTGTAGAGCTAGTAAAATTCATATCACAGGGTGTATCATTAATCTTCATATATCTCAAATGAATATACTTGGTCACAAAGGGATCATACCTGGGAAAATATAATTGGATCAGCGAGGAGGAGGAGGAAAAAAAAAGCCCTAATTAGAGTAGACTTTTTGTACACAAAATAGAGATGGATTTCTCCTTTTGCTGCTGAGTGATTTATAAAACCATTTGAGGTAGTACACAACTGTTTAAAACTTGGCTTTTAAAATCATAATGTTTTAGAACACAAACATTCCTGTATATGTAAGTTATGGACAAAGTTTAAAAATGCTACCAGGGAACCCTGGGTGGCACATCGGTTTAGCGCCTGCCTTTGGCCCAGGGCGTGATCCTGGAGACCCGAGATCAAATCCCACGTCAGGCTCCTGGTGCATGGAGACTGCTTCTCCCTCTGCCTATGTCTCTGCCTCTCTCTCTCTCTCTCTCTTTCTGTGTGACTATCATAAATTAAAAAAAATATAAATAAATAAAAAAAATTTAAAAAATAAAAATGCTACCGTATCTAGATTTATTCTCATAAGGAAACATGAAGACCACTTCTGTTCAAGTACATGATAATTAAAACAGATGAAAGCATCAGGTCTTCAGAAACTGTCCATTCTGTATTTCATTCCACCGTGAAGTATTTTAACATCAAATAGACTTTCTCTGTCTTAGATATTTACCCTTGTTTTATTATCCATATAATGATTGCTGAAGTATTGCATATAATGAGAAATGCTTTAAAATTTTTTGATACGGGGATCCCTGGGTGGCGCAGTGGTTTAGCGCCTGCCTTTGCCCAGGGCGCGATCCTGGAGACCCGGGATCAAATCCCACGTCGGGCTCCCGGTGCATGGAGCCTGCTTCTCCCTCTGCCTGTGTCTCTGCCTCTCTCTCTCTCACTGTGTGCCTATCATAATTAGATAAAAAAATTAAAAAAAATTTTTTTTGATACGAATTAGGTTAATCACTGGTAGAGGTACTGGTAGACCTTTTCCCTTTTTTTTCAATTTTTAAATTTTAATGAGGAGGTGGTATTCTAAAACAAAAAGATTGCCAGAGTACTTAAGTATTTGTCTTTTAGTGTTGCTAGATTTATGTGGTGTGAGTCTTAAAATTAAGAACTTCAAAAGTAAGAACTATTAACAAATGTTGCTTTCGAAGGAATTTATCTGTAAGTTAGCTTTTGCTGCACCTCCTTTCATGTAGATTATAAATCAAGAAAAATACAAATTTTAAGAATTACTTGATATTCTTGTCAAAGCTAAGTCCAAAGCATTACACTGTAGCTCCCTTTGAGCAGAACCTGTAATCCATATCATACTGCATACTCCTCAAACTGCATTGACTGGAATTATCTACAACCCATGTCTTAGAAGGTTTTTATATGCATTTGCCACTAAGGCAGTAAAATGCGGTGTCTAGAACTGCTGAATCAGACCCTCTGGAATGGAGCCTAGCAATCTGTCTTTAACAAGCCCTCCATGTGATTCTGATGCACTTTGAAAGTTGGAGTTGGCTTTTCCCAAGAAAAAAATTAAAATGTCCAGTTAAAATAAAACCTTTGCATTTCTCCCTAGAGAAAAGGTGGCTTATCACCCTTCCACATGCTAGCAGCTCCTCCTGTTCTTCTCCTCCTTAATTGGCTGAATGTATCTCATCAGACCCAACACATGCTTTTGGTAGCTTTAAGCAGACCTCAGTATTGTATTGTAGGATTCCTCGGTGCCAACAATCAAGAGAGAGCACCATGCCTTCATTCATGTCACTGCTAATCCTGCCAAGCACGAATGCTCAAATGATTTTCAGCAGGTAGAAACTGTTCAGTAAAATCTAGTGGAAGCTAGTTCCCTCTTGAGACGAAATAACAAAACTGAAAATAGAAGTAACGTATAAGCAATATTTGTATGTCAGAGTAGCAGCTGGCATATTAAGTACTGAAATGAGGAATTAAATTAATGTCAAGCAGGAAGTTTATAATCAAATAGTAGCAAGCAATGATAGGAAGAGGAGAGGAAGGACTGCCTTAAAACTTAGGTCAGGGCCCAGTATGGGTTGTATAATAAGCAAACATATTTTTCTGCCTTTATGGAATATTTCAGTTAATATTTATTAAAGCTAAATTTCAAAGGAAGAAGTATTACAAAGAAAAATTACTTAAGATACTTCCACATTGCTAACCTTAAGCCTTAAAAAGTCCTGCTTTCCAGCCACACACAATTTTTTACTCATCCATATTGCCAACTTAATGGGAATTTTGGAATATTGAATAGATCAACATTAGCTTTCTTTTCAATCATACAATGGTCTTTTATTACATTATTCTTGTCTAAATGCATGATGTAATAATATATATGTTAGCACACTTGTTAGCATAAACTCAGATATTCTTTTTGTAAAATTTACTATAGCTCAAAACTGTAAGGTATAAAAATTTAGAATAGCATATGAGTAAGTTTCAATGAAGGGAAAATTTTGAAGGGGCTCTTTGGAAGTCTTACTGGAATCTGCATGGAACTTTTTTTTTAAATCTCTGAAACTGCTTGCTCATATAGTTGGTTTAAAGATGGTGAAGGGATGCCTGGGTGGCTCAACAGTTGAGTATCTGCCTTTGGCTCAGGGCATGATCCTGGAGTCCTGGGATCGAGTCCCATATCAGGTTCCCTGCATGGAGCCTGCTTATCCCTCCCTGCCTGTGTCTCTGCCTCTTTCTCTGTGTCTCTCATGATTAATAAGTAAAATCTTAAAAAAAAAAAGAAAAGAAAAGATGCCTGCCTTTATTCTTTTTTTTTTTTTAAGATTTTTATTTATTAATTCATGAGAGAGAGAGAGAGGCAGAGACACAGGCAGAGGGAGAAGTAGGCTCCGTGGAGGGAGCCAAACATGGGACTTGATCCTGGATCTCCAGGATCACAACCTGGGCTGAAGGTAGCACTAAACCACTGAGCCACCCGGGCTGCCCCCTGCCTTTATTCTTTAATGATGAAATGGATTACACACTATGTATTCTTTTCTTCATTCTCTGCAAGGTTTTGAAGCACCTGAGTTAACTTTAATGAACTAGGTATATTTGACCAGTAATGTCTGTTTTTCTTTCTTCATGTATTTGAGTTTAGAAATAAAGTTTATAGCAAAGTCAGTGATTAACATGATAATGTTTTCTTATTTCAAACAGCTAGTTAAAGGCCTTCAGCAAGAGCTGAATCGATTATATTCCCTTTTCTGTTCTCGGAATCCAGACTTTGAAGAAAAAGGGGGTAAAGTCTCAATAGTGTCACATTCTTTGGGATGTGTAATCACTTATGACATAATGACTGGCTGGAATCCAGTTAGACTCTATGAACAGTTGCTGCAGAAGGAAGAAGAGCTGCCTGATGAACGATGGATGAGCTATGAAGAACGACACCTGCTGGATGAACTCTATATAACAAAGCGACGGTAAAATACCCTAATCTCTTAAAAGAGTTTTAAAAGTCTTCGTGGAATTACTGGACTTCTTAGGAGAACACTGTAAGATTTTCATGATAAAAACATTTTTCAGAGTGTAAAGATTTTTAGATAACAAAACTAGACAGTTTTTTTTAATTTTCATGCCAATTATATGTGTGTTCCAGTAGCACAAAATAAATTATTTTGTCATCATCTCCTTTTTCCTTCCACCTCTTCTTTACAATTTATTAGGAGTGAAATCTAAATCTTATTCTGAGCTGAGTCACCACACAGAATCCTTATTGAAAATGTTTATCAGTTTATAATCCTTTATAGTTTTTACTAATCTTAGAGATGGGCCTTTGTCTTTCTTATTATTCTGAAAATAATTAAAAAACCCTTTCTTTCTTGGCAAATAAATTTTTTCACAGATTTACAGTTATTCAGTCACTCACAAGTGATCCTGTTGTCTTGGATCAGATCCTCCCTATACTGTCTTAGAATTCTTTAACACATTCCTATCTTCATTTATAGTCATGTGCTCTATTCTTTGTCCTCAATGCATCCCATCAATTGTATAGAATAGTGGAAAGTCACTGATTTGGGTAGTTAGCATCACATAAAAACAAAATTTAGTTGACTAAAACATTTATTCAAGAAGCCTTGGATTTGTTTTAGTCTTATAGAAGTTGACTAAAGGTTTCATTTAGAATCTTATTAAGTATGGGCTAGATATATAAATTTTATAGTGTCAAAATAATTGATAGTTTGAAAAGAAAAATATAGTAAGCCTCAGGGTAGCAGTAAAAAAATAATAATAAACAGGTTTAGAAAATGAACTACAGGGGCGCCTGGGTGGCTCAGTTGGTTGAGCGTCTGCCTTTGGCTCGGGTCGTGACCCCAGGGTCCTGGGATCGAGCCCCGCATCAGGCTCCCTCCTCAGTGGGGAGTCTGTTTCTCCCTCTCCCTCCCCCCACCACTCATGTTCTGTCTCTCTAATAAATAAATAAAATCTTTAAAAAAAGAAAAAAGAAAAGAAAATGAACTATACCTTAAAAAACTTAGCTGTGTAACTTACTAAATATAAGTAGATACAGAACATTGTAATGGGAAAAAATTGAAATAATGCATATGTTCATCAGCACAGATGGATTAATAAACTGATAAGTATGAAGAACAGTTAAACAGCTGTTAACAGAGATTGAAATAGAACAGGAGGCAATGAAATGAAAAGACCTTCAAGATTCATTATTAAGTTAAAAAAAAAAAGACAGAATATGGTGTATATGATATGAACATTCATATGACTATTTTTTTAAGTATATTTGTGCTTGTCTTTCTTTGCCTCACATTTTCCTGAAGGATCCTCCCCAAAAGCTATTAACAGCAGTTATTATGAAGAGTAAGGCTACTTTTACTAATCATTTTATAAATGCTTATAGCAGGTACATTTATTTATTAAATACTGTCAATAAGGATTAATTTGAGGGATTGGATAATGGGGTCATCATTTTCTTCTTTACACTTTAGTGAAATAGTAAGCATCTAATATTTATGGAATTATAAATATTACTACATAATCTACTGCTTTCTAGGCTGAGAGAAATAGAAGAACGACTACATGGATTGAAGGCATCATCCATGACACAAACACCTGCCTTAAAATTTAAGGTAAGAAAAGAGAGATGAGATTTTTATTTTTTATCTCAATTTCTTTTCAGACATCATTTGAAGTATGACATTAACATTCAAGTGAAATCTGAATTTTCCTTTCAAATGAATATATATTAAACACACACTGTATGTTGGACATTGCTAGTTTTGGGGTTCTACAAGGAAGAATGGACAAGATGGTTCCCCAACCCATAGGATATGGAACATAGTGCTAATAGTACTATTAGCAGTGTATAGAATGATATATACACAAGAGAGGGGTTGTAATTTTGTCTGGAAAGGTTTACAAAGGAATGACATTTGTACTTGATCTCAGCAAATTGGATATTGCCAAGTGAAGGAAAGGAGAAATATTCTGTATAAAAGAAACAGCATAACAAAAGTGTGGAGGAGTATGACTTCCAAGAAACATGAAATAATCTCAAGTAATGGAAAGAGAAAAAGAGAGACAGATCTAGAAATATTTAGCATATAGAATTAACAAACTTTAGTGACTAGCTAGTTCTGGATGACAAGAAGCATAAGTAGAAGTATATCAGTGATGATTTTAAGAATGGAAAGCTGACATTTCATTCAAATAGCAGTCTATGACAAAAGCACAAGATGGGACATATATGATTGGTTTAGAACATACAAAACAGTTTAACTAGAATGTATAGGATTCAGGGCAAGGGCTGCAGGATAGCAGGAAGAGCTAGAAATAAAGAACTTATATTTGATTGGACAATGGGAAACTTTTCAGGATTTTTGAGCACCAGAATGAAGTTGTTGAAAGCAGTGGTTTAGAAATATAAAAAGTGACAGAGAGATGGTGACATTGACCTGATGGTTGAAAAGGACACAGCCTATAGCTGAATAACAAATAACTTGCTTGCAATGTTAAGTGGAGCATGGTATAAATTCCCTAATACTCATTTCCTTGAGAATGTATACCCAGGGATTATGTACCATATTATCTCGTCTTGAAATCTCTTAATCACAGGAACTTTAATATACAGGCTAAGTAATGGAATGATGCAGAAATATTTTTTTTTTTTTGAGCAGTAAGAATTTTCTTACTGAGTCTATCTCTATGACTTATAATGTTTTCTTTTTAAACTTTAACATACGTAATAGCCATATGGTAAAGTTAAACTTATATTAAAAACCATAGGGGATCCCTGGGTGGCTCAGCGGTTTAGCGCCTGCCTTTGGCCCAAGGCATGATCCTGGAGACTCAGGATCGAGTCCCATGTTGGACTTCAAGCATGGAGCCTGCTTCTCCCTCCTCCTGTGTGTGTGTGTGTGTGTGTGTCTCTCTCTCTCTCTCTCTCTCTTTCATAAATAAATCTTTAAAAAATAGTAATAAAAAATAAAAACCATACAAACATGGTCTTTGGAGTCATCTCCACCTGGAATTTGAGTTCCATCTCTACCACCATGATTATATATAATCAGTGTTTTAAATATGTAGAATTGATCTGATAGAAAAAGTAAACTCTTTTATTTGAAGCCCTTGGTTTTTGTTTTGTTTTTTTTAAAACTGGAAAGTTGAGTATGATTCACCAAGTATATTAGGTTCTCAAAATTCAGTATCATATTACTAGAACATATTCACTATTATTGGGTATTCTTCTAAAATGTAGTCATATGTAGTCTAATAATATGGGTTTTAAATTATTACTCATAGAAAAAAATACAGAAATCTGAAATTTAAAAAGGAATATCTGGGATCCCTGGGTGGTGCAGCGGTTTGGCGCCTGCCTTTGGCCCAGGGCGCGATCCTGGAGACCCGGGATCGAATCCCACGTCGGGCTCCCGGTGCATGGAGCCTGCTTCTCCCTCTGCCTGTGTCTCTGCCTCTCTCTCTCTCTCTCTCTCTCTCTCTCTGTGTGTGTGTGTGTGTGTGACCATCATAAATAAATAAAAATTAAAAAAAAATTAAAAAAAGGAATATCTGATGAATTGGCAAATATGTAGAACTCCAGAGATGTACGAGGAACAAAAGTCTTTCTTTGCCTGTTAACCAATGGATGGATTTACTTTCAGAATACATGTGTTAAATCTGTTGTAGGTGACCACTGAACTTCAAAAAGAAAAGGAAAAAAAGAAACTATTGTCAAAAACTGGTCTTAGAGAGTGGGAAACTTTGCTTCTGATCATGAAGCTCTGCTACTATCTGGTTATGTAATGTTAGCCAAATCATTTAACATCTTAAATTCATCTGTTTTTTCCTCTCTGGACAAGGAGGTTAGACTACATGTCTAAACCTCTTTTTCACTTTTAAAATTCTTTGATGGTTGTAATAGCATTAAAGTAGTCATTATTCCTATAATGATTACTTGGTGTGTTTGTCAATGAAACCGCATATCAGTCATAAAAGAAAGAAAAGTTATTTATTCCATGGATGTAGCAATTTAACAAACATTTATGAAACACCAGACCAAAGCATAAAGTTTTGCTAGGGTGTATGTGTATATACGTGTGTGTATTAAGCAAAAAGGATTTACCAAAAAAAAAAAGAGAAAGAAAGGATTTACATAGCTTCTCTTCTATCTCAACTATTTTTATATCTTTCTCTAGCCTTTATTATTTTAATTATCTTTATCCTTTCAAAATTGGTATTTTTATCTGTGTCACTACTATTTCTATAGTTTTAATAACACAAGTTAATTTTCTTCAGCCTTCAGACATGCTGAAGCTACCAGTCTTTTAAAAACAAACAAAAACTGGGGCGTCTGGGTGACTCAGTCGGTTAAGCATCTGCCTTCAGGTCAGGTCATGATTCCAGGGTCCTTGGATCCAGCCCCACATCAAGCTCCCTGCTCAGCAGAGTTTGCTTCTCCTTCTCTCTCTGCCCCACTCCCTCATGCTGTCTCACTTGCATGCTCCCTTGCTTGCTCTCAAATAAAATCTTTTAAAAAAATAAAAATTTTCTCATATCTTTAACATAAAGGTACCATTTTCAAAAAGTATATATTCATTCATTTGGAAAAAAGAATCCCTTCAGAGGCAGTGGGAGAAGAGATTAAAGGTGCATAAAATTGGAGCCAGGGACAAGTATAGTTACAATATAGCTACAGTGCAGTCCAGATTAGAGACCATGAGATGAAGTGTTAGAGTCTGTTGGAATAACTTCTTAGATATTGGGGATGAGAGGGAAAGATGAATTGGGGATGTCTCACTCATCGGGATAATGGGACATATGAGTGAAGTAGGGTGACTGTAGGAGAGAAAGGTGTCATGTTCCATATATAATCCAGTGCTGCTGGCCACACTAGTTTTCTAGACACTCTCTCCTGTGGCTTCCATGTGTACAGCATTATCCTGGTTCTCCTTTTCCTTTCACTTTCCCCATTTGTAGGCTTATCTCCTTCACCTGCTAATCAAATGTAGTCATTGCTCATAGTTCCAGCTAAAGCCATCTCTTAATCTGTGCACTTCATAAGCCATCTTACCACTTCTCCTGGTTTTACATGTCACTTCTGTGACGGTGACACATAGACTTTGGCGAGGACATATCCAATTCTATATCTCTTGCCCTAAAATTTCAGCACTTGGTAGATATGTTACAGATACTTCAAACTTGTCATGAACAAAAACAGGACTTACCTACAGTTTCCTGCTGCAGTAGATGGAACTACTGCTATATTCCCAGTTACCCAGGCCCAAAACTTATAACTTGCCTCTGACTCATTCCTCATCCTCATCTCCATTAAATCATGTTGACTCCACCCTCTCCTCTCCCATTTCCATTTCTGAATGGAACACCTTGTCCTGCCCAGATCAAATTATCTTTTGCCTAAATACTGTCAGTAGTTTCCTAACTTGTCTCTGAGTCACCAGATTTTCAGTTTTCCAGTTCATCCACACACTACTACCAGGTTTACTAATACACACACTACTACCAGGTTTACTAATACACACACTACTTTCCAGTTTTACAGTTAATCCACACACTACTACCAGGTTTACTTACCAGTTTTCCAATTCATCCACACACTACTACCAGGTTTACTGATACACACACTACTACCAGGTTTACTAAAACATGGGGTCAAATCCTCTTCCCTTCACTACTAAAAAATCAATTAAGTCCTACTTTTTTAAGTTAAATAGTCAAGGTTCTCTACCTTCCCATTCCAAGTTACGTTTTCCCAACACCCAATTTTTCAACTATTTCTGTTTTCTAAATTAAGCCAGGTTCTCTCCAGCCTCTGCTTTAGTTCATAGTGATTCTGTCAATCTGAAATGCCCTCCTTTCTGGCCCCAATGACCCAGACTCAAATGGGGAAATCCTTTTATTTTTTTTTATTTTTTATTTATGATAGTCACACAGAGAGAGAGAGGCAGAGACATAGGCAGAGGGAGAAGCAGGCTTCATGCACCGGGAGCCCGACGTGGGATTCGATCCCGGGTCTCCAGGATCGCGCCCTGGACCAAAGGCAGGCACTAAACCGCTGCGCCACTCAGGGATCCCGGAAATCCTTTTTACCTTGTATCACCAATGCAAATGCCTTCTCCTCTCTCGCAGAAGACATGCAGATAGCAGACACATGAAAATGAAATGCAAATCAAAACCCTATTGAGATACCACCTCACACCTGTCAGAATGGCTAAAATAAGCAATACATAGAAACAGCAAGTGTTGGTGAGGACTTTGAGAAAAGTGTGGACTATTGGTAGGAATGCAAACTGGTGTAGCCACTCTGGAAGACAGTATGGAGGTTCTTCAAAACATTAAAAATAGCGGTGCCTAGGTTGCTCAGTTGTTTGAGAGACTGTCTTCTGCTCAGATCATGATCCCCGGGGTACTGGGATCAAGCCCTGTGTCAGCCTCCCTGCTCAGCATGGAGCCTGCTTCTCCCTCTCCCTCTGCCACTGCTACTCCCCTGCTTGTGTTCTCTCAGTCAAATAAATAAAATCTTATAAAAAAATTAAAAATAGAATTAACATACAATCCAGTAATTCCACTATTGGATACTAACATAGGGAATATAGAAACACTAATTTGAAAAGATACATGCACCCCTATGTTTACTACAGCATTATTACAATAACCAAATTATGGAAGAAATGCATCCATTGATAAATGGAAGAAGAAGATGTGATTTACACACACACACACAAACACACACACACAAAACATGGAATACTAGCCATAAAAAAGAATGAAAGCTTGCCTTTTGCAACAACATGGATGGATCTAGTGGGTATAATGCTACATGAAATAAGTCAGAGAAAGTCCTATGATTTCACTTGTGGAATTTAAGAAACAAATTGACAAAAAGACAAACAGATTCTTAAATACAAAGAACTAACTGGTAGTTGCCAGAAGAGAGGTTAGGGGCAAGGTTATGGGTGAAATAAGCGAAGGAGATTAAGAATATACTTATTGTGGTGAGGTCTGAGTAATGTACAGAATTGTTGAATCATTGTATTGTACACCTGAAACTAATATAGCAATGTATGTTAATTATACTGGAATTAAAAAAAAAAGAAACCTCATATAATGTGAAAAGAGCTGTGTAAAAACCCTCAAGAGTTGAGGGGATCCCTGGGTGGCTCAGCGGTTTAGCACCTGCCTTCAGCCCGTGGCATAATCCTAGAGACCCAAGATCAAGTCCCACATCGGGCTCTCTGCATGGAGCCTGCTTCTCCCTCTGCCTGTGTCTCTGCCTCTCTCTCTCTCTTTCTGTCTCTCTGTCTCTCATGAATAATTTTTTTTAAAGTCTAAAAATAGAAAGAAAGAAAGAAAGAGAAAGAAAGAAAAGAAAGAAAGGAAAGAAAGAAAACATACCCTCAGAGTTGGAGTTATTCCTTTCTTTACTCTCTTAGAGCAGTCTTTCCCGTGTTCACTAATTTTATTCTGCCTCCCCCACAGGATTGTAAACTCTGAGTGCATAAGCTCTGCCTTATTGGTCTTTACAGACTTTGTAGCACCTAGAATATTATGTAACACAAAATAGTAGCTTAAGGAAACTAACTAGTGTTGAGGAAACACACAATGAAATGGTCTTCCTTCTCCTCTTTTGTTTTCTATTAGTTTAAAGGAAAATGGAGTTGCTTCTGAAAATAGATTTTTAGAATAATTAAGGTGGGCAGCCCGGGTGGCTCAGCGGTTTAGCGACGCCTTCGGCCGGGGCGTGATCCTGGAGAACTGGGATCGAGTCCCACGTCAGGCTCCCTGCATGGAGCCTGCTTCTCCCTCTGCCTGTGTCTCTGCCTCTCTCTCTCTCTCTGTGTCTCTCACGAATAAATAAATAAGATCTTAAAAATAATTAATGGTTGGCATATAATTAACAAATAATGCAGATACCATCTGAACAAAGCTCATGAAAAAAGACTTATATTTGAAGATAATTTTATTATTTGTATTATGTTGTGCCCAAATCTAATAAAAAACACTTCACCAGTTTTAAAATTTAAGATAACTTTCTCATTTTAGGTTGAGAATTTCTTCTGCATGGGATCCCCACTAGCGGTTTTCTTGGCGTTGCGTGGCATCCGCCCAGGAAATAGTGGAAGTCAAGACCATATTTTGCCCAGAGAAATTTGTAACCGGTTATTAAATATTTTTCATCCAACAGATCCAGTGGTGAGTTGCTGTTAGGTATTTTCCCCTCAATATTAAATCATTCCTAAAGATTGTAAGAAATATTACAAGGTACAACTTAACTAATGAGAAATGAATTCATTTATCTGATGATATCTTCATAGATTAATAGTTTTAAGACATTTGTGTTTTGGTTTAGGGCTCAGCTAATACTTTAGAGATGATCTGTTTATGTTACAGTGTAAGCATAATGTAAAAATATTATCTCTGGACAATTAATACATGGAAAAAATCTTCTCAACTGTCAAACCATTACCAGTTGTGATACCAATAACCCAGCAACCATAAATTTCAAAAATCCCACTTTAAATTCTTCTTTCTGTAAAGCATGCTACAAGTACTGAAATGTGTCTGGTAGATCCTCTTAGAGATGAAAATATTTGAAAAATGGATGAATTTACTTTAGCCTGGTGGGATTATAAAATTGGGGGGTTTTATATTCTGTTATGTTTATACTGTTAATAATTTTTTAATGTAAACACTCCAGTGATCTTGCATCCAGGTGGACCATTTTTTAATACCAAGTAAGGTTTTTAAATGAGAAAAATGCTCTTTAACCTTTTTTAAGGACAAGGCTAGGTATAACTAAATTTAAAACAAACCATTTTAAATATCATTCATTCTCAGAAAAAATGGCTTTATCTTTTAAAAGATCTTTAGCTAGTACCAAGTAAATATAACATTGACTAAATACGAGAATTTTAGAAAATTTCCTATATGTTAAAGAATCAAAAATGCTATATTTAAGAAATAAATTTCACTGCATTGGAAACTAGTATTAGATTCAAATACAGACTGCACAATCTTGGCCATGTCACTCCTAAGGCTGTTATCTATATGATGCAGATGATATTTTACTTCATAAAGTTGTTAGTATTAAGTAAAATACATGTGAAAAAACCCAGCTAGACATTAAGTATTTCATTAGTATACATTCATTTTACTCATTGTCTCACAACTTGAAAGTGAACTTGAGTTCATAGAGGAACTCTGAGTTTTCATTGTATACCCTGTCCTTGGTATAATCTTAACTTTGTTATATTATAAAGGGGGGGCCCTAAACTCATTGTATTTAAGTTATTATTCATTTTATAGTTTTTCTCTGATTTTTTTAAGTAAAGTTTTTTAAAATAACGGTTATGTCAGAACTCTGCTAGGCAGTATTTACAAACATTATCCATTCTTTCCAACATCCTTATGAGGTAGGAAGTGTTAATCTCCTTTGTACAGGTCAGGAAACAGTGTCTCTGAGACCTTGCAACTTGGTAGATTTCATACAGTTAATAAGTGACAGAGGCTAGAATACGAACTTGGGGGAATTCCAATGCCAAATCCATTCATTGCCTTTTCTGCTATATCATCTCTTCTTCACATTAGACAAATGGTCTTGTATCAGCATCTAATTTGTGCTGTTACTATGTTAATCTATTTGAAAATAGAGCTTACTAAGAGCTCCTAAAATATTACAGATTGATTTTTGATCACATTCTGGTTTACTATTTACTACTTCAGCTTTGTTGGTAAGACAAACATAAATCTAATTGTTAGGATGATATCAGAACATAATAAAAATGAATCTGTCTGAAAGACAAATCAATGGGCTCTGTTAACTTAGACCTATTCTAGTTTTTTCCCATAATCTCATCATTAAGGCTATATAATTATACCAATTGTATATTATTAATAGTGAACAAATAGGAATGCATGTTAGAAATACCAGGTTTTTAAAAATTCCCTAAGGTCTGCTGAGCATGCAATAGAATAAGAATAAACAGTTTAATAAAATCCAAGCATTGTGCCTTAATGTTGTGTTTCTTTGAATGTTTTTTAATCTCAAGGCTTATAGATTAGAACCGTTAATACTGAAACACTACAGCAACATTTCACCTGTCCAGATCCACTGGTATAATACTTCCAATCCTCTACCTTATGAGTATATGAAGCCAAGCTTTCTCCACCCAGCAAAAGAACCTACCTCAATTTCAGAGAATGAAGGCATCTCAACAATACCAAGCCCTGTGACCTCACCAGTCTTGTCCCGCCGACACTATGGGGAATCTATAACAAATATAGGCAAAGCAAGTATATTAGGTAATTTCTCCTAAGTATTTCTTATTAGTAAATATAAGCGTTTTTTTAGATAGGCATTAAATTTAGGTTACTTGAAAATACTCTGTTACAAAATACCCAACATTTAATTCCTGCATTTAGAATTAACTACCCTCTCTTTCGTATTAAGAGCCAAAGGCCCTAAAGGTTCTAATTAGATCAGATCTTGTAGTTTTAGACTATGAGATAGCTGGAGAGACAAAAAGTCTGGAAATCAAGACCTTCATTTTAATCTTGGCTCTGCCACCTACTGTGAGGTATTGGGTAAGTCACATCATTTTTAACCGTCTGCTAACTCATATGTAAAATGAGAGAGTACTTCAGTTCTCAGGGGCCCCCAAGGGTGCCAACCAGTTCTCTGATTCATGACTTAATAGTCTCTAAAATTGTATCATCCTAGGGACAACAAGGATATTTAATTTCTCTTTAAATGATCTCCACCAGCCACAATGTTTGGTGTAGCGCTGGAGCTCAATTATGTGCCCCTTAAATTAGTTCATTGCTTTTGGTTATGGGTTGTCTTAATATAGAATGCCACAAGATGGCACTATAAATAGACTTTTCATTGATATTTCACTTTGTTATATCGATAGTTTATGATAGCTTTTTATAACATTCACTTCAGTAGTAAAGCATATCGATAATAAATATATGCTCATGTCAGTGGCATGGTTCTGTTATTAAAGTTTTTAACCTTACCAAATACTTTAATAAACAATGATCCCTTGAATGAGATAGAATCTTTATTCCTTTTTTTGTAAGCTAGATTTTTGCAGTTTGTACAACTCTCATTCTATTCAACACCATTTTTACTTAGAAACCTACAGTATAGGGCAGCCCTGGTGACTTAGCGGTTTAGCACCACCTTTGGCCTGGGTTGTGATCCTGGAGACTCGTGATCGAGTCCCAAATCGGGCTCCCTGCATGGAGTCTGCTTCTCCCTCTGCCTGTGTCTCTGTCTCTCTCTCTCTCTCTCTCTCTCTCATGAATAAATAAGAAAATTCTTTAAAAAAAGAAAGAAAGAAAGAAAGAAGAAAGAAAGAAAAGAAAAGAAAAGAAAGAAAAGAAAAGAAAAGAAAAGAAAAGAAAAGAAAAGAAACCTACAGTATAAATTGCAGTTTTCCTATGTTCCCACCCTGGAAAAATATGACTATGGCTTGGTTCCTCTGCCAATTGGCTGTAACTATGGATGGTGCTCTTTTAGCTTGGTATGTGGTGTAATTCAACAGTCTGACTGCCCTGTTTTGTGAAATACAGGGGCCGCTAGCATTGGAAAGGGCCTTGGTGGAATGTTGTTCTCAAGATTTGGACGTTCATCTACATCACAGCCATCTGAGACATCAAAAGACTCAATAGAAGACGAGAAGAAGTCTGTTGCCTCGCTTCCCACCACCACTGTTGCAACACAGACCCTTCCACACAGCAGTTCTGGCTTTCTGGATTCTGCATGTTAGTCATATTCTTCTTTCCTTACGTTTATACTATATCACTTACAACTTGAATGTGGAAAGGATTGAGATACTGACAGGAACAGTCAACTCTAAAATCTAAAGCATAAGTTAGCTTTAAAGGAAAAATACTTTTTCCTCTGGTTATATTTTTAAGTAGAGCTCACAGGTAAATGCAGTTTTCCTCTGCATTGGTGAATTAATAGTTAAGAGCCTGGTAGCACAGGAGTCTTAAACATCAAGCATAAAACAAATCTCTGGTGTGAGCAGCCCCTGGTTTTATAAAGTAGATCTTTTTTTAAAATATGGTCTTTTCAGCCTCAAAATTTTATTTAACTGCTTCAGACCTATACTGTGATATTCTTGATTCTTTTTCAAAGCTGTTATGCCAGAGCCATTCTGCTAATTCTATAGTTCTCTTTATCCAACCAAATTATAAGACTTTAAGGCTTATATTGTATTTGATCTGCTGTATGGCTTTCAATCCTATCCCAGTTTACCTAGCATAAAGTAAATATTCAAGAAATAACTGAATGAATGGATAGTTATGCTGGACTTCGCATTAGAATAGAGCTTTATTTAATTTTTTCCAATAGATTTCTAAGGTTTAAAATCTTAAATAGTTGTGAAGTTCTTATACATTTTATTTATATTTAATTTCAAGAGTCTAAATTTGAACCTTATTTTTAAATGTCCATTTAAATAAGACTATAAATCAAGTCTTACTTTTCCATTGGCTACGTAAGGAAATGTAGATTCTCGAACTAGCTGCTTTTTTAACTGTAGCAAGCAGAAAACTTTCCTTCCTTTCTCTCTAAATGTTTAAGCAGATTTTATTTCAGATACTTGCAGCCTTGTTTTCTTGCTATATCAGCTACTCTAAATTTCAAAATGACCATTATCCATTGCCATCCATAAAACATAACTTAAAAAGGAAGTTCAGGTGTGGCAGTCCTAGAGACTGGATCTTTCTCCACAGACAACCCCACTCCAGGAGAAATTATCCTGGACATTCCTGAATTGGATGTTCCTGTTTGGACCAGTAGCATTTTTTTAGCATAATTCTATTTATGTCAAACTCTGAGTCCTGAAAATTTTATAATTGTAAGCCTTTTGAACACTGCCTAGAAAATTCATTTTGGACTTTGTACAAAATTCATTTTTTAGTTTTCTTATATGAGTTCCTATACTACTGCTGACTTAAGCTCTCATTTCTACTTAATATCAAAAATGTGACTGTAAAAATACAGAATTCTTTTGTGACATGCAGAGATCAAACTCTAAACTTCTGGGAAAAAATACTTTGAAAGAATTTTGTAAGATGGCAGGTAAAAAAGTCACAATTCCTTGTTATATTAATGCCCCCTAGAAAGGGTAATGAAGACATAAAGACAGTCTATAGGATCTGAGGGAAGAAAGCTGGCTTTTAGGTCTTTTTACTATTTAGCATAGTAATTTCAAAAGAATAATAGAAAAACCTTTCTTCTTTCAGGACAGCAGTTACAGAGATGCTTAGCTATATTGCATCATCATATTTTGATAGCTTAACAAAATTCTTTTTCTGCCATTCTTAGGTATAAATTCTTTGTTATTCTCCTCTAAATATGAGCTAATCATGACTCTTGGTTACATATATTTATCTTTAGACATAGATGTAACTATTAAAATGAAAGTACTATAGTAGGATTCCACCTTTTAAATCAGATTCTCAAGATTTGCCTTACTAATTCTTAGATTTGCTTCAATAATACATTTTTCTATATAATCCTGATTTAGACATTCCTTATGTCATACTTGCTATTTTGACTATATCTTGCAAATCATAAAGACTTTCTTCCTTAAATCTTCTTTCTGGAATTTGGTCATTGTGATTAGGCGATTCTGGCTTCCTTCCTTTCTGCTCACATTGATTGCCTCAGTTCTTGATAACCTTTATTCTGAAGCTATGGACTTTGATTCTCTTGCTTTTTGAAGGTAAGATGAACAAAGACTTTGAATTCATGAATCAATCAGGGTTCCTCTCTTTGAAGAGTATGTGTGTGCTGTCTGTTGAATCCACTTTATTGTCATCAAGTTAAAGCATCTTAGATAGCTATCCTTCATTTCTTTTGAAAAGTCTACGCTTATTTATGGTTCCATTTCTTATATTCCCCCGTGTTTATAACATATGTAAAGAAAAAACTATTTCTTTTAACATGTTTTACCTTAGGTTAGAACTTAAATGAGCTATAAATGTTGGGAATATCTGAGTATTAACAGATTATGACCTTGTATTTCAAAGTTAATTATGCTTACATTTTCCATGAAAGAGCTCTTCATAAAAACCAAAGTGTGTACTTCTTTATGTCTGCTAGGTTTAATCAGCATATTTAGGGGTAGTCATCTAAATTTTGCCACTACATCGTTGAAGGTCCTTTGTAATCCTCAGCCAGCACTTTACACATCTTGTGTTTTTTGTTTTTTTTTTCACAGATTTCAGACTTCAGGAATCGTTCTTTAATCTCCCACAACTTCTTTTTCCGGAAAATGTAATGCAGAATAAAGATAATGCCCTCGGTATGGTATATGTCAGGAATAGCATTCAGAATACTATGACAATGATCTACTTTAGAAGTCTTCTGCTCATTTAAACTATGAGATCAGCTTGAATGTCACCATTATATAGACTATTTTATATGTATTTTCTAACCTTAAGTAGTGGTGGTCCTAAAACCCAAGTATTGACTAGCTGCTTAATGTGCTAAAATGATAATCCTGTGTGTTCCTACAAAGAAGGAATCTTATAGAGGGAAGAAAAGCATTAGGCCATTTTCCTTCTTTATTGTCCTAAAGGCTTCAAAAGAGTTCACTGTTCTTTTCATGTAAGACATTTAGATATAAAAAGTTTTTATGGTATAAGAAATGTAATCATTCCCAGTTATTTCAGATACTGGTAACATTTCTACTTAGGGCTGTAGGTGTGCCATTGCTGTTGATATCTGGTTTCAACATAAATATTTAATGTTCTTTAAAAGGGATAGGATCGCTTTTAAAAATTAGTATTTTTGGATGCAAGACATATTTTCAGTCTCTTAATTTTCAGCAGATTCTAAATGTATTACTAAGGATTGATCCTAGTTTAAAAATCATTTTTAGGGACACCTGGTGGCTCAGCGGTTGGGCGTCTGCCTTTGGCTCAGGGCATGATCCCGGGTCCTGGGATCAAGTCCCGCATCATGCTCCCTATTGGGAACCTGCTTCTCCCTCTTCTCTGTCTCTGCCTCTCTCTCTTTCTGTGTCTCTTGTGAATAAATAAATAAAATCTTTTTAAAAAATCATTTTTATCATTAACTTTCATTCTTTTTTCCACAGCTCCTCCCTCTTTCCTTTTTTTTTCTTTCTTTTTAATATTGGATTTTTCTGTAACAAAAAATACATACAGGTTTTTCCTTGGATTTTTAACTGCATCTAATTATACAACTTCTCTATTTAATTGCTAATATCCATACTTTTTTTCTCTATTTTCAAAAACAAGAAAACTCTTAACTTGATAAAAATTCCAAAACAGTATTTTACTATAACAAACTAATATGAGTTTTTTTGCTCCCTAGCAACAGTTTGTGTTGATGTGACTTCATGAATTTCCTTCAAGGAATGATCTTATATAAGTGTTCTCTCTGGCCCCTGCTCATGTAAATAGTCAAATCCATTGAAGAAATTATTTGACTTGTGCTTTTTGCATATTTTATTAGATGAAGGAAAATTGATATTCTTATTAATCCTGCATTCAAGTATTCCTTATATCTACTATCTTAAAACCATCCCAGCTATTGAGGCAATTAGACCACTAATCGTAACTACACCAAACTGATTCAAATGGTAATATGTATATGGCTTATGTTTCTCTCCCCTTGCTTTTTTTCATTTAAAAATGTTTACCATGAGCCAAAGTACCAAGCTAGTCACTAGAAAAGATAGCAAAATGAAACAGACCTCAGTACTGCCCATAAAGATGTTAAATGCTGGTATGGAAATTAAGTATTTTCTAGAGAATACATATTCTAGTAGGGAGGTAGATGACTATATAAATAATTATAATATATGATAGAATGTGATGAGCCACATAACAAAGGTATAAGTAAAGGAGTCTGTCAGTTCTAAGGATTGAGAAAATGCTTTGACCTAGAGAAATCATAAAAGGCTCTGTGGAAGTAGAATTTGGACATGCAGAGATGAAGAGATGTTTTGGGGAGAAGAAACAGCATAAGCAAAGCACAGGGTATGTAGAGAACCAGAACTTAGTTGAACCAAAGGATGAATGGAAAGGAATAGATCCAAATATAATAGGAAAAGTTTCTTAAACCAGATTGTTAGAAGTTCCAACAAATCTGGCCATCTCCTAGAGTTCCTTTTATTCAAAATTTACCCATAAACCCTATATTCACCCATAAAGCCCATCTGTTACAAATGTGAGATATTTGAATATCTTTCATTAGTGTTGGGAAATTATTTTGAAATTATTTTGACAGATATGAAAACCATCTATAAAACATTTTAGAGGGTTTTTTTTTTTCAAATAAATGACAGTTGGAGAATATTCTTAAATATATTTGAAATTATAACAACTCACAAGATGTAAATATTCCTTGAATGTCAAACACCTACCACATGAAATGTGTAGCTGCGCTGAGGCAGCACAGAAATAAGAAAACATAATTTACCAACAAGAACTCAGCATAATCTTTTTTTTTTTTTTTATGAAAAAATCTTTGGCCAGTTACTTGAAAACACAGTTTCCTTTACTAATATTTTTCTTGGTGTCTGCCTATAGCCAAAAATCATGCAATTATTACCATAATTATTACTTACAAATAGGATAACTTTTTTAAAAGCTTATTTATTTGAGAAAATGAGAGAAAGAGGAAGGGAGAGAGAGAATCCCATCCCCACTGAGCACAGAGCCCAACTCAGGGCCCAATCTCATGACCCTGAAATCATGAGCCAAAACTAAGGGTCAGACACTTAACTGACTGAGCAACCCAGGTACTTCAAGATAACTTTAAAATTAAGGTTTTGAACATTTCTCTCCAGGGAAGGTAAGATGCTTCCATTAAAATAGTAGAAACCTAAAATAGTGCACATTTTAATACTAAGATGCTTACTTTATATTCATACATATTTTACTTAATACCATATCCATATGGACAAGACTTGTGTAGAGAGTTCTCTGATGAAAGCACAGTACTGATGACACCTTACCTAAATAGTTCATAAATTACCAACATTCACTTTGGGGAATAGGAAGGGAAATAGGCCTGTTTGTGAGACTCCCAGAAAAGAAAAAAAAATCCATGTTTTAAAGCAGTATAAGCAAACTGTTAATGATTGTTAAAATCTAACGGTCTTTTTCTCATTTTCACTTCTCTTCAATTGTTCAGGATCTCAGTCTTTGTGGATAGAGGAATTCTAGCCCTTAGGCACTCAAAAGAGAAAAAAAGGATAAAGTGATGATTTTATGTTCTCCTTTCTCTTTGACCTCACTTGGTGAGAGAAACTAGGAAAAACTATCAGCTGTGTTATGCCGCCCATTTTTGATATGCTAATAATGAGAAAGTAGGTCCAAGGCAATTCCATATAGATTTGGGCCTACTTGGGCTAAGAGCCCATCTCACAGCACATAAAAAATGGTACTACCATCTAGACCCTTACTCCCTTGGGAATTCTATGATCTACATAAAAGGGAGAGAGAAGACGAGACATAGGCCCACCTAATTCCATTCCTCTACCTGTAGAATCAACATATGTAAGGTCAACTGGACGGGCAGCCAGACTGTCTGTTGTAAACCTTTTAAGGAAAATGAGAGACTAAAACCAATGATCAGGTACAGGCTGGCTACTTTATTCCCATTTTGATGAGGGCAGCCTACAGATAAATAGCAAGGGGTAGAGATGGTCAGTCTATTTAACAACACTTACTAGAGTCCCTGTAGGTGATAAGAATGGCAAAAGCCATAATAGGATGATAATTCAGCATTTGAGTTTCTAGTATATGAAAGACAGTGTTTCATGACAGTAACAACATTTAAGAATAAATTTCACAGGGATACCTGTGAGTGGCTCAGCTGTTGAGTGTGTCTGCCTTTGGCTCAGGGCGTGATCCCAGGGTCCCAGAATCAAGTCCCACATCCGGCTTCATGCATGGAGCCGCCTCCTCCCTCTGTGTTGTGTCTCTGCCTCTCTCTGTGTCTCTCATGAATAAATAAAATATTTTTAAAAAAGAATTTCACAGACACAGTTTCAAAGCCAAATAATACTTACTAAAACAGAAAAAATCTCCCTTGCTTTGACTTTAAAACAACAATTCGACTTAAAACTGTTGGACTAGGAAGACATTACATTCTCCAGTGGCATTTTAAAGTAGAAATTAGGGATCCCTGGGTGGCGCAGCGGTTTAGCGCCTGCCTTTGGCCCAGGGCGCGATCCTGGAGACCCGGGATCGAATCCCATGTCAGGCTCCCGGTGCATGGAGCCTGCTTCTCCCTCTGCCTGTGTCTCTGCCTCTCTCTATCTGTGTGACTGTCATAAATAAATAAATAAATAAATAAATAAATAAATAAATAAATAAATAAATAAATAAATAAAAATTTTAAAAAATTAAAAAATAAAAAAATATTAAAAAAAAATAAAGTAGAAATTATAACTTGAGGGACGCCTGGGTGGCTCAGCGGTTGAGTGCCTGCTTTCTGCCCAGGGCATGATCCTGGAGTTCCCAGATCGAGTCCCACATTGGGCTCCCTGCATGGAGCCTGCTTCTCCCTCTGCCTATGTCTCTGCCTCTCTCTCTCTGTGTCTATCATGAATAAATAAATAAAATCTTTAAAAAAAATTATAACTTGATGGTCTTCGCCGATACTAATGTGTATTTTTCTTGTCTCTTCTGGTTTTCCTCTTGTTTCTCCTCTTCTTTATAACTAACTGCAGCTTGACTTCTCTTCATCATGCTTGAGAATTCCAGTTTCCTCTTTTTTCAACTTCCTGTCTGTTGTGCCAGACTGTGCCTACAAATCAAACTCAAATGTCCCACAGAATACAAAAGATAAAAGATTCAGATATTACTATCCCACAGTTCCACATATGGATTGCAGCTATTTCTGTTGTATTGTGGATTAGCTTACTGTAATTTAAATGAGAAAAATAGTTTAAAAAAGTGTAAAAGGAAAAAAAAACTGTAAAAGGCCTATGTCAATATATTTTACGAGTGTTTTATAACCTAATTGGCATTTATACTGCTTATTTGAAAATGTATATATATCTATATACAACATGGGTGTTCCTTGTCAGAAAAGCATAGTTGGGGGATCCCTGGGTGGCTCAGCGGTTTAGTGCTGGAGTCCCGGGAACGAGTCCCACGTTGGGCTCCTGGCATGGAGCCTGCTTCTCCCTCTGCCTGTGTCTCTGCCTCTCTCTCTCCATCATGAATAAATAAAATATTTAAAAAAAAAAAAGAAAAAGAAAAGCATAGTTGAATAGAAAAATAACGACTATATGCATTTTTAAATCACCAAAGGATCTTGTTATAAAATACCTACCTAAAATAAGCATTAGCTAAATATTTATGTGAAAGTATTCTCTAGAATAATATGATTTCCCATCTGCAACTACCAAATTTGCTTTTTAGAAAGCAAAACCCAACTTTTTTTCCAACCTCCTTGATTTTTGACACCTTTTACTTTCCACATCTTCTGGCACTCTGAACAAAGATTTGGATGTTTTTTGTTTTTAAGATAGTTCCATCAAAGTATTATATCGCCCAATGACAGTTTTAAAGGAGTTCCTAAAGATCAAAATATTATTTTTCTAAGTGTTTTATCTCTAAGGACTTATTAAATGAATCATTTGTAATTCTCTTATTAGCCTTGATTTTTCTCTAACAGGTATTGCAAGGACTTTCTATGGGTTTTAGAAAATTTTTTTTGAATTCACTGGATTATTTGAGAGTAGTAGCTATAAGTGAAGTCCTTCTTCCCAAGGATCACGACTGTTCCTCCCAGTTTAACCACCCCTGCCACCCAGTGGATTCTTTATCCATCATACATTTAGTGAGCACTTGTATATCGCAGGTGCATGTGAGGCCCTGCTGACTGCTTGGGGACCAGGCTGTGTGATGGCAGCCACAGGGGGAGTCCGGGACTGCAAAAAGTCACAACAGAGCAAGGTAATGGATAGGGCCGCCCCAGAAAAGGAGCCTTTGAGTGACCTGTGCACCCTCACAGACATCACTGCATATAAGTCTGGCCCACAGTTTTGCAAGAGACGGTTTTCCTTATTTTATAGATTAGGAACAAAAATTAAATGGGAAAGTCAGATTTGAGCCCAGTTTCTTTACTCCAGATATACTGTGTGATACCAAGTGATTTTTTTGTTGTTGTTTTTATTCCTTTATTATCCCATATTGGCCTGAGCATACAAAGGAAAGGACTCCACCAAATAGAATCCTGAGCTATTTAGACTGCGGTTGGATCTCCCCCAACCCCCACAAGATTACAGTGGATGGTCATGTAAGAGGAAAAAAATACAATTAGGAGAATCACTTTTGTTAGCTAAATTTTTATTCTCAACTCTAGGTAAAGTCTATATAGAACATACTGTAAAACTTACTCATTTGTTTGACTCTCTTTTCTTTTTAGTGGAATTGGATCACAGAATTGATTTTGAACTCAGAGAAGGACTTGTGGAAAGCCGCTACTGGTCAGCTGTCACATCGCATACTGCCTATTGGTCATCCTTGGATGTTGCCCTCTTTCTTTTAACCTTCATGTACAAACATGAGCACGATAGTAATGCAAAACCCAATTTAGATCCAATCTGAACTCTTGAAGGACATTAATGGCCCAAAACTGATTTCTTTCTGTTAAAATGTGTGTGTCAAGATATGGAGATTTCAGGTTAAAGTGTTTCAGTTTTGTTTAGGGCAAGAAACATTTGAATTTAAAAGCACTTTATTTAAAAAACAAATATTTTTTCAGCCTGAAAGAAGTTATTTACAGTTTTCATCATTTTAATTATGAGTCTGATACAACCCCCTGCAGAGAATCAAGACCTAGAATTGAGTTTGGGTGAACTGTAAGGTTATAAATCACAATCTTAATTTCTCCCAAATATAAAAGCATATTAATGAGTTGAATCTAATGTATTAACCAAAATATGTTGTAAATCTAAAATGGCCAAGGTCCAGTGTAGTCTATGTAAAGATCACAGGTGGTATCACTGTTGTAGATTTCTATGAAAGCTTCCATCTCCACAGTTCCTTTGGAAGAAGAAGATAACAGATTTCAAGTGTTTTGAATTTAACTTGCTTAGAAAAATTAATGCTAAAAAAATATTTAAACTACTACTGTATTTATAATTTATTTCCTCTAACGACTTTATTTCAACATATGAAACATGAAAATTTTTAAATGTTTCCTTTGAACAATTTAAGAAACACATTTGATTTCTATAGAGTTAAGACCCTTTTTTCCTCAAAACTCCATCTTTGTACTCTTCAGATGAATATAAAGACACTGTGGCATACTCTCAGTATTTTTTGCATTAAAAACTTGTGGTTTCACATAATTAATACTAGTTCAGTTATTTTAAAAAAAAGAACTTTGTATTATGTCAGATGTACCTTTGAAAAAGCTCAAGTTTTCTAAATTTGACACAAAGTACTCCATGGCTACATTTCATTAACTTTATTGGACAATTAGTAAACAATTTTGGAGTAGTGAGTACTACAACTATTTTAAATATATAAACATCTGTGTGCCAAACAATTAACATATATAAAGGAATGGAGTGCCACCAACAGATTTTACTTGCGAAGTATATAAGAAAACCTGGTTGGGACACAAGGCACATAGATCAGGATTCCAAGGCATTGGGAGAGTTTTCCTCTGCTGTGATGGTCTCCACAGTGCTTTTCATCTAAGGAGCTCAAAGTGCTTTAAGATTCAGTCATCTATGTGGTAGCTCCCTGTGGTAAGTAAATGAGTGTCTTTCTCATGTTACATGTTAATACACTAAGGCACCAAAATATTTTAAAGTGCCTTGAATTAGATTACAGAGCAAACAGAAGAGCTCAGATTGAGGCTAGACTGTATTCTTTTATAAGCTGTTCAGTGACTAGTAATTCACATGTGACCTCTTAGTTTGCAAACAATAATAATCACAAAGGTTGAAATGTGTAATTTGGAGAAGAGACTGTGAAGCCATTATTTTAGCCTACTTTTTGTATATGTTCTGGGGTTCTCACATACAAAGGAGAGTTACTTAGAGGGGGACCATCTCTACCCCAACCAACCCTCACTCCCTAGTGGATTCTACTAGGTTCCACTTACGGTGCTGTCTTTGCTTATCTTACAAGGATTTTAGCTGCCTAGTAATCATTGTCAGACTGGGAGCAAATTTGGTCAGTTGCACATCTCACCTACTCTCTTTACAAATAATGGAATCCATAGGCTCACCTATAGGTTCTCCTGCAGCACCATCAGTTCTCTTGTCTGTTCTGGCCTTTCATTGAATTTGCACAACAGAAGGCACTTCTTTTTAGTGCTTAAAAAGATCCCAAGGTTCCATGACCAAATATGTGACTCCCTAAGAAATGCTTGCTCTAAATGGCTTTTGATGAAATCTTAGCAAAGCTGAAGCAATCTCTTTCAAATATAGAGATTCCAGTGAACTCAGGTCATTTTCATACCCTGTTTTACTTCATAAGTCTAATTTAGTTCTCAGGAAAATTAAACTCCTGTCTCATATGACTGTATCATTAAAGGTACTTGAACATATGTTGCTGTAGGTGGTGTGACATTCAAATGTCTAAGATCTTTAAACGATTCATTCTTAACTACTAGAATGTGAAGAGAAAAAGTCTATCAAACCTTTTAATTTGATAATAAGTTTAAAAAAAAAGGATATACCCATAGCTACAGCATATCATCTGCTTATTTTTCACGTTGTGGAAACAAAATCAGATTTAACCATATGGAGTTTATTTGAATTCTTGAAAAGAGCAACACTTAAAACCCCCTTGGCAAAATGAGATAGTCTTGGATTACTGAACAGGTGTTTTGTTTTCAATTCATTATTTCATCAATAGAGATGGTGATCTTGATTTGGTCGTACTCTTCTTGCTTCCATGTCTCTGCATGTTATCATGGAATGTACTTGTATATACTCAAGTAATATACAGAGTATGTGTAATTCCGGCTTGATTTAGAAGCTAAGTCCGTTACTGAGTAACATTTTGCAACTTTATTCCGGCAAGTACTAAATTGGCCAAAAAGTTCTGTTTTTGATACCATTAAAATTTTATTCTCTATTTTGTGTATATGCTATGATGATTCTTCTGAGTGCTGGTCAGATCATTCAATTTTAATCCAGTTAGGGTCCCAAGAATGATCAAAACTTAGAATAAGGAGAATGTTTGGGATTAAATCTTACCTTATTTTACTTTGAAGTCAGCCTTTGCTAAACCCTTTTGTTCATAACTTTATTTTCAGCAGTAATTAGGCTTATGTTAAATCCGTCGTTACTGTATTATAGGACAAAATTACAAAATGGGCTGGGTTTCCCAAGAACTACCCCTTTTTATGTGAGGCAAACCTTAAGAATCTTATCTTTTACTTCTTTCTATTAAATAGCATCTGTCAGTCTTTGGAAATTCTCAAACTTCACATGTCCTACCGAAGCCTTCAGACAGTGAAGTGTGAACATTCGTCCTCATTCTCTTCTCTCTGTTGTTTCTTCACTGGGGGCTGAAGTATTGTGTTCTATATGGCATTTCACACACCTTATGCCAGCTTTGCATTTCCCTGAAGCATAGACGGGGGAAAGAAACCACCGGTGGTGTCCCAGTCGGTTCACCATTCATTTTCAGTGATGGTACTTCAGCCCCTTAAAGAGACCAGACCTTGAGATTTCACTGTAAGGCCTGCAGTGGAGGAAAAGGAATTGAATGGCTTTCTTGTTAATTAGGTTGGTTATATATTTTAGTCTCCCCAGCTACTACATTTGGACAATTGAGAAAGTTAGTTTGAGTGTGTGTCTTAAAAGTTTTTTTTTTTTAATATTCTTTTAAGTTTATTTAAGTAATCTATATACCCAACGTGGGGCTCAAATTCACGGTCCCAAGAGAAAGACTTGCCTGCTCTTCCGATTGAGCCTCCCAGGCACCTCTGTCTTAAAAGTATTTTTCAACAATCTTGTTGACATGGAAATGAGGCTAAAAAAGAAACATGTGACATTAAAGAAGGGTCAAGACAGAGCAAAAAAGAGGATATAGTAATCCTACACCAGAGAACTAGAATTTTACTCAACCCTCTAAGCCTTGGCTAGTTGACTTCTGTGAATATTCTCAAGTTTTACCTTATCCATATTCTGTCATCCTGGGCCTCCAGCCTCTGCCAGGAATTGGAGGGTACTCTGGCTGAATTTGAAACACATGCGCTAAGTATTTTTATAATTAGGTATGGTGAATATATATAGTTTCCTAATGTTTTGTAAGAATTCACTTACATGAAAAACCTTTAGCCATACCTACAAAGAACAGATCTGCAGGAAGCACCCCCTTGGTCTCCTAACTCTGTCTCCTCTAGAATGGGTCTAGGGAGCCTGTACAACACACACTGTCTCCCTATATATTCTCCTTTTGTATTAGTCAAGGGGAAAGGAAGTTGCAAGGAAATACAGTATTGAGTTTGGGGCAGTGTACAGAATGGCAGGATAGAGAATTTCATCTCAAAGTTCTCATTTAGTAAATGTTAGTGCTGTGATGAGAACAGCCTCAGTTATATACATCCTGCTTCAGTCTTCAGTGGTTGTGATAATATTCAAAGAATCCTAAAATCTCAGGATTTATATAGATTTTAGAGGTCAACTGCTCCAACTCTGTTTTAGTTTCATGTGAACATTTAAATAGCATAGAGTCAAGAAAAGTAAAGCCAGAGGCAGCATGTTAGGTTCAGCCCAAGAGGTTCAATGAAAGGCCTGACTGCACAGTGCAGAGAAGGGAAGTGACAAGCCCCTAAGGAAAGATAACCACTAGCAGTAGTAGAATTCTAAAGCTGGGAGGGGTGAATAGATCAACATTTTCCAAAGCATGTTTTGCAAATATCAGTAGACTTTTTTTTTTCAGAAAATAAGTTTGGGAAATGCCAAATTAAAAGAATCCTTTACAGCCGGACTTTGGAGCCTGTGATACACTAAAGGTATTAAGAACCTATCTGCTACTGTGGGGGTTGGGTCAGGGAAGGGCAGTTTTTCCAAATTTATTTAACCAAGTTTGTTTTTGTTTTTTTTGTTTTGGAATATACTTAGAGAAATCCTGATCACATTTAATTTAATTACTCCATTTTACAGAGATCTGCACCTTCATGCAATCTCTTCATTTGACAAGTGACCACTCCTACCCTGTAAGATCACATGGCCAGCCAATGACAGAACTAGAACCTAGTCCCCACCCCCAGCCCCTTCCCAGTGACATCTTAGGCCACACTGTGGTCTGTTTCCTTCCCCTAGTAGATCTGGAACTCCTAAAGGGCAGAAACTGCCCCTCTTCCTTGTTGTGCATCCTCCTCGCCCCACCCATAGCCCTCTTGTGTAGCCTGATGCTTTATGGGCTGCAAGCTCTCCACAAATGGCTCCTGCCCCGAGTTCCCCAGTTGGTTTCCTTTGTTTCCAAGGCCCTCAAGAAAGAGTGCCCTGCTGGGTGGGGACAGAGGGCCTCTCGTCTTAGACTCCACATACTCAAGAAAAAGAAAAACAAAAGAATGAAAAAAATTTTTAAAAGCTACACCAGAAACATTTTATTAGTTTTCCATTCTGGTGACAAATGCAAACTTGGTAGGGAAGTTGCACAGTGTTCAATAATGTTCGATATTCACTCCCTTCCTTAGTGTTTGTATGTTGGCTTTTTATCAATTCATGACAAGCAGGTCCCTTCTAAAACTATTCCAACAGAGGTTAACTAATCGAAGTTTTTTCAATTTAAGTATTTTGGAGAACAGAAGAATTTTTGCTGCTGCTCCTATTGCAGATGTGTGTATCTGCTTGTTTCCCTCCAAAAATAATTTCTTGGCAGATAGCATGAACTTTTCTTCTGCCTTTGTGTTTGAATAAGGGTGGGAGTGTGCTTAGTATTGTCTGTCACCTTATGGTTTTTCATTTATTTGTAACAGAGTGCAACTTGCTTCCTCCCCACCCTACAGTTATCTGAATACATTGGGAAGTCACTCTTTAAAAAGATTACATCTGGTCTTCTGTTGGAATAAGATGAAAAACAAGTGTATTAACACTTCACCTTTAATGCTTTCTCCTGGAAAACATGGAATATATGAGCATCATTCATACCTTCCCTTGACTATACCCACACACACCACCTTCTCTGCTTGATCTCTGAAAATCTTTGATTACCTGTGAAGTTTGTCATAGAAAAATATAACCATTTTTGGTTCTAAGGCTGTCATAATAAATCCAAACTCTGCCAGTAAGAGTCTGGAGAGCTTTTTGCTTTTTGCCATTAGGTACATTTCTCAGAAGCAACTGGCACTGTGCCTTTCCCGAGACCCTTCAGCTTCCATGACCTCTTCAGCTTCCATGACCTCTTCTGATGTTCGCCCACCCTCCCTGACAGTCCAGCTCTTAGAAGGTAGCCTTTTTCTTTTTCCATTCTTTCCTCTCATTTCAAGGTTAATTTTCTCAGAAACTTCAGTTTTTACTGAAGCAATATTCCTCTTTTATCTCTGCAGTGATTCACTTGGGTGACAAACTATCATTTTAGAATTGTTCAATTTTGATTTTTCTCAGTTGGAGCTAGTGGATCTACATTTAATAATTTCAGGAAAGTGAGATGTAAATGTAGTTTTCTCCTGGATTACACAATGTTTCTCTAACTGAATGGATCCATTATCTCATTCACCAGGAGCAAGTAACTATGCCCTAGAGTAACAACCTGAAAGAGTAGACTATTCTAAGCATTCTTAGGAACATAATTCCTATATAGTTTATGGTAATCTTCCCCTAAAGTTTATGAAGAGTGAAAGATATTAAAATCTACACATTCATGAGCTATGGCCATAATACCACTTCCTACGCGAGAGGTTGGTGGCCACAAGGGTACACTGGCTCCTTCAAAAACATGTATAGAGAGATTGGCACATTCAGGTCTTGTACAGCATAATCCATTTACAGCTGATCAGTTGAGGGTTCAAAAGATGACCATAGTTCTCAGGCTTTCAAGCTAATCTGAATATGTGATAAGTGATAATTTTCTAATTAACCCCAGTAACCCATGCAGATTAATAACCAACTGGTAGTACATTTCCATTTCCTATCCCCACACCCCTACTTTGGTTGGTGCCAGAATGACTGAGAATTAGGATTTTAGATGTATTTTGTAAGAATCCAGAAATGTTGGTGCTGGGCAAAAGCAATTCCCTAATGGGGTGTTGACCTTAGATTGAGAAACAAGTGGCTAGGATGTCAGGCTACATCCAGAATTGAGCTGAGACAGTGTGTGGACTGGAGAAAGAAAAAGCAAATGGGACTGGAAGAAGAAACTTGGTGCATGGTCAAGTCTGACAGCTTAGCCATTCCAGAAAAGTTAGCCCAGGTTATGTTTCTGAGAGATGGGGAGAAGAACAACCTAGGTCTGATCACAGCATTGCTTCAATTAAGCCCTTTGACAACTCCCATTTGTCAGTGGAGGCTCTCCATGACCTAGCCCAACCTAACTCCTGCCTAAGCTCCCACTGCCTATCTTTGGCAATCAAATTTCTCTCACAGCAAATTGCATCCCTTTTGCCTATGAGTGCATGCATTTTAGTTATTGTAGTGGTTACCCGCTGTTTTTGTCCAACACCTTAGTTCTTCTCTTTTGGGGTCCTCTCTTCTCCAACTTCTTATGAAATACTGCCTAGCCCTGCCCACTTTATACAGTTCTATTAGAGCTGCCAATCCTACAAAAGTCGTGCAACCTTTCCTACCTCTGTTAAAATTATTTTCAGCTTTGTATGAGTCTCTTTAACAGAGCTCCATATTAGCGCTGTCTATTCCATGGCTAGGTGATGGGTAAACTTCCCATTCCACGAGCTATAGTAATTAGCCTGTCTATTGATAGGCATGTGACCCAAACTAGTTTGGGTTTAGACAGAGCAGAGCCTTTCCATGGGATCTTCTTTGCTGGCCCTGAAATACAGATAGCCTTCTATGGCTATTAAATACAATCCAGTGTGATATGAGCATAGTGCTATCTGTGGCCAAACCACCCCTTCCTCTGCAACATGGATTATGTCTATCTGCTATGGGAGAAAAGGAAGCATACACACATGAACAGGGTCAAGAGTTCTGGGAGAGCTGAAGCAAGTGCCACCCCCAGATTTCCCAGTTACACTTTCCTTGTATTTATGTAAGCTATTTTGAGATGGGTTTCTGGCCCTTGGAAACAGAAGAGTACAAACTAATAATCATTTGACCAAAAATAACCTCTACATCCTTAATGGAAATTCTGTCTTTGAGGACAATGTCTTGTGAAGACTTTCCAGAGTCCTCTTTTTGAAATTAATTACTGCACGTGAGTACCATGTCTTAGTCTTTGGGACTGCTATGGCAAAAATAACATAACACAGATGCCTTATAAACATTTCTCACAGTTCTGGAAGCTAGGAAGTCCACACTCGTGATCACCAGGAGATTCAGTGTCTAGTGAGGGCCTGCTTCCTCATTGACAGCTGTCTTCTCTCTGTTACCTTCACATGGCAGAAGGTGCAAGGGCTCTCTAGGATCTCTTTTATAAGGGCACTAATCCCGTTGGTGAGGGCTCCACCCTATGACCAAACTTCTTCCCAAAGGCCCCATCTCTAAACTCTATCACACTGGGGATTAGGTCTCAGTATATAAGTTTGGGGGAGAGACATGTTCAGTCCATAGCATCCTCCATTAACAAATGTATACCTCGGGATCCCTGGGTGGCGCAGCAGTTTGGCGCCTGCCTTTGGCCCAGGGCACAATCCTGGAGACCCGGGATCGAATCCCACGTCGGGCTCCCGGTGCATGGAGCCTGCTTCTCCCTCTGCCTATGTCTCTCTCTCTGTGTGTGTGTGTGTGTGTGTGTGTGTGTGTGTGTGTGTGTGTGACTATCATACATTAAAAAAAATTTTTAAGGGATCCCTGGGTGGCGCAGCGGTTTGGCGCCTGCCTTTGGCCCAGGGCGCGATCCTGGAGACCCGGGATCGAATCCCACGTCGGGCTCCTGGTGTCCTGGTGCATGGAGCCTGCTTCTCCCTCTGCCTGTGTCTCTGCCTCTCTTTCTCTCTGTGACTATCATAAATAAATAAAAATTAAAAAAAAAATTTAAAAAAAAAATTTAAAAAATGTATACCTCAATAGTTGCACTGGTTTCATTCTGCCTCGATTTGGGGTTTGATTACACATCTCTTTTCCTCATTTGCAGGGTCTTTAAAGGTAAAGAGCATACCTTAATCATCATTGGACGCTCCATAGGGCACCACCTCGTAGGGGCTTAAATGTTTTGAATTATGTCTAGATTGGTACTATGTATCATGCTCTGTTCTAAGAACTCGGAATAACAGTGAATTTTAAAATATGAAAATTCATGCCTTCATGGAGTTGACATTCTAATAGGAAAATTATTTGACCAAAATTCATGGGAATGGCTGAATTGGGAAAAGCCTTGAAGAAAGGCAAACCCTACCTGGAACCAAGAGCCTCAGACCAAAAGGACTTTGCTTTTTCCACAACCAAAGAAAACAAAACAAAGAGCTCTTAGTGTGGCAGAAGTATGGGAAGTATATGTCAAGATGAACTTGAAAATAGAACTTGAGGGCAGCCCTGGTGGCTCAGTGGTTGAGCGCCACCTTCAACCCAGGGCACAATCCTGGAGACCAGGGATCAGGTCCCACGTCGGGCTCCCTGCATGGAGCCTGCTTCTCCCTCTGCCTGTGTCTCTGCCTGTCTCTCTCTCTCTCTCTCTCTCTGTCTCTTATGAATAAATAAATAAAATCTTTAAAAAAAAGAAAATAGAACTTGAGCATACTATTTTAAAAGATGGTTGTATTAACCCGTGTCAAATGAAAATGGCCAGCTAGGTAAAATTACAGGCATTCCCCAAATTGTGCCCCTTGGTAACTCAGTAAGTTTTCCCTCAGACACCAAGAACTATTTCCTTCTCACCATATGCTCTACCCTAAAACTGACAGTGTGTGTTCATCTTTCTTTTAAAAA